CCAGCCAGACAGAAATAACCTTTGATGGGTGTCCCAAAAACCAGCTCCCGGTGTACTGTTCCAGATCCCCGGAACCCCTGGCGTGGCAAACTGACGCCCTGTCCTTTTCGAGGACCAATCACGGTTGTTTCGCACCCAGGCCGTACGCATCAATATAGTTTTCTCAATGAGAAGCTATGTATTATTCATAACGCGTTGATGACGTCATTGCTAAACATGGCGGCGCCCATTTATGATTTTTATGATTTCGAACATAATTCAGCAGTCAAATATTAATGCTACGACATTCATTTAGTGCATTCCCAAACTTTTTGGACTTTAAACGTGTTAATACAGACTTTAGTACTTAATCTGCTGACTGAAAGTCGTGTTAGAGTGTATTTTTAAACGATGTTTGGCGACAGCGAAAACAGTTGTTCACATAGTCCGAAGCCTTGTAAAGGGTAGCAACAAAACGATTTTACAACATAAATCCGCTCAACTACCATATTTCACAATGGTTTTTCAATAATTATTGACCTTGCTTTCATGATCATGTGGATTTTGAGTGTGAGAGATTTTATCTTTTGACCCTATAACCCCCTGAAAACTCCGCATTGTACGGGACAAATTTTGTTTTCCATGTTAGTGACAACGCTGGTTTCGTGCCCTTCGTTAATAATACGCGCGTCGTGTGCGGGAACCAGCCATCTCTGACGCGCGATATTCGATACGATGTCAACGTACATTTTGTACATGTCTGCATGTACTGTGCCATATTGTGAGTTAATTTGTACGCGTACCTACGTTTGCAAAAATCAAGAGTGATTGTTTGATTTTATGAATGATTTCTTAATTCCAAATGGGGATTAAAGTAAATCTTCAGAATGTGGATCTGTTCAAATCGTTTTTAAAAGTAATTAAACAGCGATTGACAAAGTAGACCTAAAAAGACATGATGATTTTTTTTACAGCATATAAGGGCTAAGTACTACAATGTAGTACCACATTGAGCCATAGCTCCATGCTAGTACTAACTATTATAGAATGATTACTCAAACCAGCATCCATCCGCAGTGTGTGAGAGGTCATGCAGCAAATTGGAACACAGACTTCAATTCTATTCTATTCAATTCTGGTTTATTGGACAAAAAAACCACCAAATAAGAAGTCAAATGCTTTAATTTGGCTCACAAAAGTTGTATCAACAAATACTTATGCAAACATGTTTGACCCATAACATACTAGAACTGGAGAGTGATTTGTATGCCAAACCGAAGCCCACAGTTTTTCATCAATGACTTTGGACATTTTCAAGCAATTAAATATTGTTGACAGACCAACAAAGTTTAAGATCCTGCATGCTTACGGTATCCCGGAGGAGACCATTAATGCCATCAAAATTATGTATGAAGATACAAGTGCTGTTGTTCTCACTCCCGAAGGTGAATCAGATTCGTTCTCCGTCAACGCTGGAGTTCTTCAAGGTGATCCTCTCGCCCCTTACCTATTCATCATAGTTCTGAATTATGCCCTGCGGACAGCATTAAATGTAACCGATGGTCTCACCCTCGCACGCCGTAGGAGTAGTAGATACCCTGCCCAATACCTATCCGACCTAGATTATGCAGATGACATTAGTCTGTTTGCTGACACCCTCCTTGATGCCGAATCTCTCCTCCATAAAGTAGAAGCCTGCTGCAAGTCCGTTGGTCTCTCTCTTAACGCAAAGAAGACTAAGTACATGGTCATCAACCCATCTACCTCTGATGACGTCACTGCACTAGATGGCAGTAAGCTCGATAAAGTTGATGACTTCAGGTATCTGGGCTCCTACACCAACACAGCTCATGACATCGAGTGTAGAAAAGCTCAAGCTTGGTCTGCTCTGTTCTCACTGACCAAAGTATGGAGATCCTCAATCTCCAAGACCACCAAACTTAACATCTTCAAGACCTCAATAGAATCCATCCTCCTCTACGGTTGCGAGTCCTGGACCCTGACCAAACAGATCTCTGCATCCATTGATGGCACCTATACACGGATGTTGCGGGCTGTACAAAACGTTTCTTGGCAACAACATCTCCCTAACTCTGTTCTGTATGGTGCCCTTCCCCCTATCTCCACCACCATCAGACAGCGTCGCCTTCGGCTAGCCGGTCACGTTTATCGACATAATGAGCCAGCTAGTCAAGTTCTCCTCTGGAATCCTGAAGCCCCTCGACGAAAAGGTCGTCCCAACATGACCCTGAAAACATCCATCGAGCTAGAAACGGGTCTGAGTGGTCCATCTCTTTCCAACACTATGCTCGACAGGGACAGTTGGGCCCAACTCATCAAATCATCATGAAAATGAATGAATGAAGAAGACGATATTGTTGATAGAGACTGAAATACCAGGCAGCTTTGAACAATTTTGGCCACCAAATGGGAAGAGTGTCTTTTCGTCTTTGGAATAAATGTATATCCGTGCATTCTAGACAGACTTGCAGTTCAGAATTTGTCAGCATAACTGCTGCTTTAAAAGTCTAAGGGTTTGACAATTTGTTTCAAGAACAACACAGATTTTCTGTGCATGACATGTCAAAACAATCACGATCGATTTGGGGACGCTGAATGAACAAGGGGGCCAGCTGCTGCACACAGAATTCAATCGAGCAGGGTGCATAGTCCATGGCATACGTGATGATCTGCAGAGCGAGGGTACTGTCGATAAATAAAGCAATGATCACATCAGCACCGCATCAGAGATACGGGCCAGCATCCTGAAGACCTGCAACCCAAAAGCCATACAAGTCGAAAATAAATCAAAATACTTACATGTAAATGCATGTACATCACAAACAGTTTTGTCATTTGTTTCATGCCTGGTCAACACAGAATTCGAAATACATTTCCATTACGTGTTTTGGGAATCGGCAAAAAGTCAGTATTGACAATTAAATCATAAAATTCACGCTCACAAATACGCATGCAGTGCAGACATGCAGACAAACACTTCAAGTTTGTATCGTGTGTGTATGCGTGGTCAGGCATTATTCTACAGCTTAATGCCCAATTTTGTATTTTTTTTAAGGATGTCTGAACGTTGTAAATTGGAAAATGCATTCAATTCAAAGTTTTCTGTTTCTATGAAGAGTGGACCCAACACAAGGTTGATACATGTACACTGTGAATTCCAATACTGTTTGCGTGCATCGGTGTACACAAGACAACCTGTTGAACATACATGTATATGCATTTTTATGCACATGTAAAATCGAGGATTTGCATATCATTGTTATCAAGTGACAAGTAGCCAGTGAAACAAAAAAAAACACAGTGCTCACCGGATTTGCAGCTGAACTTTCTGTGCACCTACAGCCGGGTAGTTATGGCTTGTAATGTACGATATAGAGCTTGGGGTACAGCGGGTACAAGTGATACAGCACACAAAATTAGAAGTAGTGTGCTCAAGTCAAGGGGATGTCTTCAATCACCAGCCCCCGTAGCAATCACCCGTAGCAATCTCAGCATCCGTGGCCATTTCAACTGCACCGGGATCAGGATGAGACCTTATATAAAGAACAATTCAAACATAAGAATGGACATAAAGTGCACACAATATTTATGTTTCTAAACAGTTGCTACATTTAACACAATGTTTAACTGCTACCACGGCATGTTTGTTCCCTGATCTAACAGTGTTAAAAGACATGATCTTTGGCTATTGGAACCATGCAGACTGACTATCAACCGAATGGTTCTTTGTTTGGAACGTTTATTTTACTTGAAAAACATTCCTTTTTAAAAGAATGATGTCGTTTAATGTGGTGGTCTACCCTACTATAATTCTAGGGCTGGGGTCCGTCCTTGATTAAACACAGATGAAACTGGACACCAGTCCATCACTTCTCGATCACTACGGTTTATTACCAATCGGATGCTTGGTCAATCATAGAGGTAGGAATAGAAAAACCCCAAAACAAAACCCTGAAACAAAAAAATAAGTATTGCCTATTTATTACATAATACACAGTTTCATAATCATATCTGGGTTCTAGACACACTTTTAGTTCAATAATCGTCTTCAAAAATAATAATAAATATATATAAAACCTTACCCCAGGGTCAGTCAGTCCCAAGTGTTAGGATGTCTCAATGCATGTACATGGAGTGGTGTACATTCTGTACTGTGAAAAACACATAGAACTACATGGTTAAACACATGTACATGTGGCCTACGCAGAAAGTTTCATTTTGTACCTCACGTGGCTGCAAACTTTACACAAATAAAACGATCAAAGGAAGCTGTAAAGTGGGTCTATGTATCTTGGCTTAATAAATACTCACTTCCTGGAACTTTAGTCCCCCGAAATTACAGGAAGCAGGGTTGTCATTCCTGAGTTCCTGACATTAGCGTACAGCATTCTCCTACATGTGTCCGAATTTCTCATTGATCGCCCACTCGAGCTCTCCGCAAAATGATTTCTCATTGAGGGAAAGTCCCTCCGCACGCAATCGCGGTGCCCATAGAGAAAAACAATAAACACACCATGGTCCAGTGCACTAGTGTCCTTCATGCTGCAATTTCCTTACATTATATTACATTCATCCTTCGGCGGTTCCTGTCAAGTTTCTAGAATTTCGTGTGAAATACCATATTACATGAAATATATATTGCTAGTTTAAATTACTTGTATGTAGATGGGTGTTACTTCGTGGTGTTGGTGACGATTTCGTTACACTGTCTTCATTCTTTTCTTCACCTTTTTATGGCCAGGTCAACAAGAAGAAGGCTAACGTTATGTCCTCTTATCTATGATGTCTGCGCTAGTTCCATTTTGACGGGTAACAAAAACAAGCATTAAATCGCTATTGTATGGGAACTTGAGGTCGTCTGCCTGTCACAATGCTTTTACCAGCGTCGAATAGAGTTGGCGCAAGAAAGAGGCTTTAATTTGAAGCCATCAACAAAGAAGAACGATTTGGTCATCCGTAATAAATCCACGACTTCTTAACAGCGGACCATTGTGTCTGTGTAAAAGTTAAAAAAGGACCACAATTTGGCATTGAAAGGTGTTTTATAAGCTGCAGCTACAGTGTGCTGTACATCAGTTGGTGCACGCAGTCGTCACTGTGAAGTTAGCTACTCGTCCCTTCTGTAGATTGTCTTGACTGCTTGATGAAGATGATGATGCGATCTGTTCCCGTCTTCGTGTTTCTAGGCCTCTTGGTCTTCCAGGTCGCCCTTGCCTGGCCGGAGCGTCGCACCTTCGACGAGTTTCCAGAAGTAAGTTTCATTCACTGTTCATCTTCCACATTGTTTGGTGTCTATGCAATACATGTATAATCATACGAAATGAAAAGTAAATGTGGATGGAGTCTCCAAAAAGCAACTGCTTGTCGAGTACGGATCACCATTAAAATTAATTAACAATTACATTAACACAATTGTATTCCCAATAAATACACATACAATAATACAGTAAACCAGAAAGGATAGTAAGCCATGCAAGTTTCCCTTAATTTGCCTGCTTCATTTGCCCTGCACTGGAAGTATACGCATTCACACTGTTCAAAAGAAATACAGATAATAAAGTGTAGGGCGGGTGCAACCTTGCTTGCACATATTAAAGTGTATATTAGATTCCGTTTTGTCTGTCTTTGCAACTGCCGCTGATCTGAGGTTTCGGAGACAGATGATAATTAATCCCACTGCATGTTGTTGCTTGGTTCCATGTACGCTCAATTTTTGTAAACACTAGTCCGTGAGTTTTAACTTCCTCCAATCTACATGTTGTGACTAAATTAAACTACACAATATGTTGATTGATTGTGCACATATCTCGATTTCGTGTCCGATCAGCAAAAGCGTAACGATGAGAGCAAACTGATGGATGAGCTGGTCTCCCGCCTTCTAGACAACAAACGAGGTGCTCTCAAGCCAGGTAGGTTATTAGCCTACAGATTTTGGAAAGAATGGTGCAACCTGACGCCGCTCTTTTCTTCATTATTATCTCAATGAAGGGCAGTCATTGCAAAAGTGATGATAACACATGATTCCGGGACTGCATTTAGAAAATACTTCATGTACTTAGAAATGTGTCTTAGCCCTCCAAAAACTTTGTACGCAATCACCAAAGTGGCGACAGGTTGCAACATTCTTTCCAAGATTTCTTTTGGATTGAGACTTTTAAATGCGTTGCAAGTATTGAATATTGGGGCCAAACGTCCAGGAGTGTTTATGATCATGAAAACGATGTGTTTTGACGTAATTATATAGGTATGACATATCTGTAAAGGGTTTTACCCTTTTGTATTTCCCCTTGTTAACTATATTCCTCGGGGTTATCTGAATAGTAGACCAGCCAAAGTGAAATATTACACTTTGGACGGCATTTTGTGGTTATAGCAGGCAACCATGCCAGATCAATCAGTCAAAGGATGTAGAAAAAAATATAGGTGGATGCCACCCTTAGTTTTGGCCAAACTATACCTAATTTGCATAAATTGTTCAGCCCCGCCGTATAATATATTTATTCCCATATTTGGGTATATATTCTCTTTTTTATTTTTTTGAAAGGTTTATTTTTGGAGAATTTACTTACTCACCCTTACTTAAGTAACACTTTCTGAAGCATATAAGTGAATGAGTAGTTAGTAGGGCATAGTAACCTCAGTATTGATGAGCTTTAAATTCACCTTGTTGCTTACCAGCACAGTATTCCCTATTAAAACCTTATGGAAAATTGCGTGAACAATGAAAGCATTGCGATATTTAGCTTAGTCCAACTAAAAAAAGTCTCCGGTGTCTAATATGGAGCTTGCCCAAAAAGTGGTGCGGCGACGCGGCTTTTTTTTTTTTTTTACCTGATTGTTTTGCTTCAAATGTCGGCTGATGACTGCAAATGGTCCTTGACTAAACTGAGTGCAAATATATGGGAGTCCAGAGAGGCCACATAAAGCTTATTCTCGACCATAAACCAATCTAAAAAGACGTTAAAATTGTGCAGCAGCAGGATTCCAGTCAAACCAGTGAGTTTGGCAGTTTTGAGACATCATCTTTCATTGAAAAAAAAAGTTTTCATTTTGCCGACGCGCATGGCTACGGCGACGCGCGCGCAAACCAGAAACCGGAGACTTTTTTTTTGGCCTTGGCAAACAAAAAGGGAAACCAGTTGGCTGTCCGTAAACTGGGCATAAAATTAGACGAAGGGTCGGCCAATGTGGGAGACTTGAATAAGTTCAATCGAAAATACCCCCCCCCCCCGCAAAAAAATGTTTTCTTTCCATTTTTTTTTCCAATAATGTTTGGAATTTCCTTCAATATTTTCAAGTCCCCCACGCTAGACAATCGTTCACTAGTAAAAATTAGGTCAATTAAGGACACCTCTGTTTCCCCCGATTTTGATTGCTGGGCTAAATATCACAGCATTATTATTGTGCATACGATTTTCCATAAGGTTTTAACATGGTAACTGTGCCAGTAAGCAACTTGGTGAATTTGAAGCTCATCAGAACTGGGGTTTGGCGAGACTAATTCAAGATATCCGGAGACAAGGTGAATGCGCGCATCTTTGGGATACAATAGGTATCGGTACGTTTCTTAATTGCCCCTAAGGACATAATACGTACGTCCACGCATTTTTGTTATCTTCTCAGCGATGCCCGATTCCCTGTCACGTGACATAGCTATGAGTCCCTTTTGCGTTCAGGCTATGAATAGTATAGGAGGCGTGCACATTATACAAAGCCCAATACCTTGAACGAATAACTTAAGAAAGGGATGTATTGACGAAATTTCTTGCTGGGGCAAAGTGTTACTCCATTTACAGTGTATAGTGTTTGTCACAACATAGACAATAGAAGGAAGGGCCCGCAACTCAACACTAATTCCATAGAAGCTATTACCCAAAAATACCGTGAAGTTATTTACTAGAGAACTTTTCCACATTAGGCTGGTCTACTACAAAGTGAAGGTGTGCAATCAGACTGGGACCTTAAGTGCTCAAAACGATGCAAAAGAAGATCAGGCCAACTTTACTCACTTTTTAGCCAGCAAATTTCCCCAATTTTCATTGGACAAAGGGAAGCACCTCAGTATTCAACTTTAAAAGGGGACTTTTCTTCAATATTTGGCAGTGGCTTGCACATGAGCGGGAATTCAAGTGATTTCACAATGAGGCTGAAGACTAGACTTGTACATGTCTATCCATGGTCCAACTGTTTGAAAAGCCTAACTATTTCATTTATTGTGATTAGTCTGGTGCCTGATTTGGAGGAATGTGTAGAAATAGTGATCTACATGTAGTACCCGACATCCTTGATATTTCTGTTGGCGCAGTTACCTGACAGTTGATTGATGAAGTACTAAAGAGTTGTTGGACAGGACTGGTTGTTTCAGGTGTCAGTCTACTTTCTTGTATTGCATGTTTTCTATTACTTAAGTTTTGGGACTCTGATACACAATACTAACAGATCCAAATTTTCGGACTAGTGTGCAATTAATCATGGTACTTATGAAATTTGAAGATGATGGACATGCTCAATGAATGGGTGAAGATGATGGGCATGCTCAATGAATCGGAGGTTTGCACCATTTGAATGATATCTCTTTGTGAACTGCATGATTCTAAGAAGAACCAGTTGGTTTAACTCGATGTTTCCACAAGCTAGTCATAAGGAGACTGACGACTGTTGCTAATGTAGTAGTTCACGTTGTAGATGCTGAGGCTGCATACCGGTAAATGGGCCCAAATCCTTTCGCCAAACTCATGAATAAAAGTTTTACCCTCAAAATAGTGTATATCAGAGAGTTCTGAGAGCCATAAAATTGGGGAATTGAAAAGACATGGCAATGAACCTCTGGCCCAGACTTGGGATTCCAATTCTGAGCATTTTGGATACAATTGGGCTCGAAAGTGGCGCTATTTTGCCATGTCGTGGAGGGATCGTTTTTTAAAGATGGCTACTTTTCAACTTTAGAAAATAGTGATCGTCTTCTGTGGGTGAGAATATCTCGAAAAGTTAATGGTCAACGCCAAGAAAAATGAAAAGAAAATGAAAGCTAGATGACATGTCAATCATCATTTTCTGAGCAGCTTAATACCTGTGAGAGTTCTGAGTATTTATAAAAGAAGTTTGAAGTAGGGGCATTTAGCACCAGTGTCTTTGGGAATTTTAATACAAGGTTGCATACCAAAGTTTAGTGGACTGTGAAGGCAGGTGTTTATATAGTGACCGTTGAGGGCGTATCTGATTTTGATGGTTACTTTTCATCTTTTTTTCAGCTTGCGGTAAAGAGAAGGATTTCGAGTGTTGGGATGTTGGTTGTTTTGTTCTAATTGGAAAAGATATAGGTAAGGAATTACTGGTGTGCAGGGTGAATCAAAAGGAAAGTAACCTGAATTCAAGGTTTTTGTATGAGTAGGCAATTTAATATGATACACCAATCAAGCATGTCTTTATAGAGATGTTCTTCCACTCACTGGAAAAAAAGAAGAACTGAAATTGATCCGTGCTATCACAACTTATGAATGTTGAATAACTAAAATAACCCATGTTATTGCTGTCCATGAAATGCCATTGGTAGCTATTGAGCTGAGTGAGAATTACAGATTACACACGAGCATTTAAATACAAATAATATTCTAAAATAATATACATTTGTACAAATATTATTCTCTTTTTCAAATGAGTGCACGAACATATGTATCAAATTCGATTGCTTTTCAAGAAAAAAAAATCATTAATCTGGGTCACTTTCGTTTTGACTCCCTCTGTGCTCAATTCGTAAAACGGTAAATGATCAGTGGCGGACATCCGAGTTTTAATGAAATAGCCAATAGTATTCTATGCACATTACAATAGTAGGCTTTGCACAGTTAAAAGCCAAATGATGTATTTTATTTGTATATTTTCTAATGAAATTAAGCGAGTCAAATATGTTGAAAAATATTTTTCAAATTCGATTACTTTCTTTTTGACTCACCCTGTACGGGAAAGCGGCTTGGTGGGTGTATTCTTAAATGGGGTTCTGTTTTCTTTTCATTATTAGCAAATCATGCAGCACAATTCTTTTTGGGGAGAGTGTGATATCCATTGAACTAGTATCGATGTCGACTCATTTGTTTCTAACGTTTAGACGTGTTTATCGACTACTCGCCCATCGGTGGGTTGTATGTTTCACTTGAATACTACAAGAACGACTATGACATGGAAATCCTCATCGACGAAGAACTGAAAGGTAAACTATAGCTCATATATCTGACAAATGGGGGCGCTCTTTCAGACTTGGCTTTTTTTTTCAATCGCTTTCACACGGTAACGGCAACCATAAGGTGACAGTAGAAGTGAAACCGCACTGATCACAACGTTACCACCTTGTCCGGAACTAAATTAAACACACAAAGAACGTGTTGCATTCCATTAAACGTTAGCAATGCATGTTTAACGCGGATTTCATTTGAATGCATTTTTCTCATCGATGAAAGCGTACGTATTGTGTTCAACTAGGAAGATGTGAATTTTCACTGGAATTACTCGAATAACACACGAATGAACGCAAATGACTCAAGAAGTCATTCATCTGTCACAAGCAATTTTTGGTATAAAGGACTGCGAGCGAACCCGCTCTTATGTCAAAAGATAAAGTTGGTTCAAAATTGGTTAAATATAAAATTTCAAAATAAGTCATTCTTACTTGACATAATATTAAAGAACAAAGACTGGGCTTTCCAATAGTGTTTGTTTGTGCCACTTTTATGCATGGACAGAGTTGTTTCGAGTACTGTGCCATGCTGTCTTGAAGCTCACAAAAGGTTGCAACTTGGCAAAAGAAACAAACTCGATTTTTGTGTTCCGCAGTAAACTGGAGTTATCTCTGGATTGACAAAAGCAAATGAGATGAAACAAAAAGTATTGGAGAGCCTGGTCTTTTTTCTTTAATGTGATGCTCAAAACGACTTACTTATGTTGAGATTTAATATTGAAAAAAAAAATCGTTTTTGATTGTACCATTTTTTTTTTGAGACAGGCTGTAGTTCACTCCACTATCCACTAGGCCACTGTGGCAGCTCAACGAGAGTCGTTCGTTGAAATGCTTTAATGTACATGCATGACTGAGTGATAGCAATAGTGTGAATAATAGCAATTTCTTGTGAATAAACACCGAACTAGCTGAATAATCATGATCCATTGACGATGCTGCACATAAAATTTGAGATTTAGCAGGCACAATAAGAGGGTGTTATTCGATAAAGTCTTCTGTATTACACCAACCCAAACAGCGTCCTTCAACTGTATCGGCCATATCTCAAATGGGCTAAGAAACGTGATGTTTTCATAAAAAGTCCAACCCATATGCCGAAAATCTGCGCACCGAAGTTAGGCCTTCACACTCAAATTATTCAAGAGAGTTCCGAAAGCAGTGGAATTAGGGCCTATTGGTGCAATTTTGGGCCTATTTTACTTGTGGTCTGCATCCGTATCTACCCAACTCAAATGCCCTACTTTTGCGTCACTGGTGGTACGCAGAACGTGGCGTAAGTTCACAGCGCCACACTTTGTTTACAATGTGCACTTTCCTATGGAGCCAGGTGGGGCTCACGGTCCACTGAGCATCAAAGCAAAACACACACTTCAACAAAGTATGACGTCATAAGTACACAAGCTTATTGGAGGATCAACCTGTCTTCCAGGATTTTTGCCGTCCCCTATCTCTGCTCTCGATCCCACAAAATAATTGATGTTATGCTTTTTGCTGTGTATGCTCATTAACTAAATGTCAATCAGTGTATGAACTAATACGAGCGAGAAAAGCTGACAAAATCAGGTGAAAATCTAGCTCATGCTCAGTCTTTAACTTTCCTGTATTTTGTTTGTAATGAAGAACTAATAATTTACGCTCACATTTCTTAATTCAGTGGCGTATAAGCAGGGTCCTCTTGAGGGGTGTGGAACTAGGGATTCTTATTCTGGAGGCGGCAAAACTGGTTTGTCTTGGTATTCTCAGGAGGCGCAGTCTGAAAGTTCCCCTTTGTTTGCATTGCTAAGTGATGTTATCTGACAGAAAAATATTAGCACAGTTTTCATACTAATTTTGTTTTCTTTATTTAAACCAAGCGTCCGATCTGTCCGAATTGCTTCCATACTCCAAGAAGTTCAAATACAAGAGAAAGGTTTTTACGTTGACCATCCAAAACATCGTGCTTGGAGGAGAAGACTCGGATGCAGTCATAACTGGGGTGTGCCTGGAGTAATGACACAGACTACACCGCAGCCGTAAAGAAACCGACTATTGGACCAGGAACCGACCATGCATTTGAATGGGATTTCTTGAGTTTTGTTTTATGAGTTTTGGGATTTTTCTATCAACAGACTTAGATTCTTACATTAGGTTTTCATATACTAATCGTCACTGATATTCTCCGGGGCTCGTTCTTCCACTAAATTTCTTGTACCAAACCACCTGCGTTTTTATCAGCTTTAAGATTCTTTCCTTTCATCATAAATCTAGTAATTCGTAACGTTTTATTACACTATGAGCCTTATTCACGAAGTCGGCCATTTTTGTCGAGTTCCCTGAATGTATATCATTATATTGTTAACTGTTGAATGGGATGGCGCAAGACTATTTTGCAGGCACAATGCAGCCTTATTTTAATGTCATTTCTTTTTGAAATACGGCTTTAAACATTAGTGAAGGTTTAATTACACACTTTATATTATTAATTGAAGTAGATTGGAATTTATCGTAAATTAACTTGCTTTTATTTCTCTGCACTGTATGCACTGGGGGACGAGGTTGCATTGGGCCTACATGTGATTGTGAATGAGAAGTATTGAGCCCTTGTCATTGCAAAGGCCTAAGCGTCGCCCTTGTTGAATAAAGTTTATTCGATTACGATTAGACGCTATATCAATTATAACAGAGCAGTGAAATTCATGCATCCCAACAAACATGGCTTTCTTTGCGTTGTGTGTCTCGGAAAACATGCTCAGTATGATTGAAATGTCAAATTATAACGGAAGAAGATATTCTAGACTTCACGTTTGTGAAAAATCGCCGTCATTGATTCTGAAACATCAATACTGGTCACTGGCAAAACTGACGTTATAGTCGGGGAGAAATCCTTCGAAAACGTCCCCAAATCTATATATTAATCTCAATTTCTAAGAATCTCCTCAAGTTGTTAGTTCACGAGTTGTTGAACATTTGTATCAACTAAGTATATTCCGAATTTTAGCTGTATCTGTAGCTGCAAATGCTTGTTACACCTTGAACTGTCTCCGAGGTAAATTTTGACGAGGATTAGTTTGCTAACCGAACTAGCTCAGGAGCATAGTTTTCAGGTTGGCTAATTTTGGGGAAACAATGACGAAGTGCGGATTACTATATGTTCATTAGTGTCACTCGACATAACTTCACGAGGGTCTTGGTATCGACCAATGGAAGCTGGCAAAAGGGGTGATATTTATTAATTAATAACTCGCGAAGGAGGCTATTCTGCATTTTTTTACTGCGCAGCAAAATGGATAGGAGCCTTATTAATATTGATGAGGCTTGACAAGATTGACAGATTGCAAACACCGGTGATACAACTTTTACAAATGCACGTAGCCAGGCCTATTTTTCCAATTTAAACGAAAAGTACTAAACATATCCAAGTTTCTTGTCTGACTTTTTTTGGTAACGGGCGAAAACTCTCACAATTCTTTTACCAGTTTCTTGTTCTAGCATAAATTGTTTGTTATATCAGAACTTTGTATTAAGAGGAACATCAGTCCCATTCACTGTGCACATACATGCACAGTCAGGACCAAGGTTTTATGTTTGTTATATTAGAATTGTGTATTAAGTTAACAGAGTTTGTACTAACGAGAGTCGACTGTATGATAAAAACGAATGCTATGCGCGTCAACAAACATGATGACGTCACTGTCTGTCTAATGTGTTTGAAGTTTTCAGGTGTTTACCTGTCTCACGTCTTCAGTGTAGAGTAGGGTTGTAATTTCCCCCCCCCCCCCCTCATAAGACGATATGGAGACGCTTCTGCATTTATGCTTCCTTTTCGAGTAGTTGCGTCTCTCTTTCGCAGGACAACTTTCAAGGACGAGTGAAAATCAGCTCTAATCCTTAAGCTGATTTAAGAGGCTATCCAGAAGCTTAGTTGTTCAAAAGGCACGGCCTTTAATTGATAATAACCATTATGACCGCATCACTGCTTAAGCTTGCATGACAGACCGGCGACAGTACATCCCTATGTGAACTGTCTTCGTTTTGCTGAAAGAACACTTACCTTTTTTGTGATCCGCGGACTGCAGAAGTTAAAAACGGTGTTTACGTGTGTAAAGTACATGAGAAACGTGTACGATTCTTGTACTAAAAGAAAGCTTATGAAGTGGGCTTTCATATCCTAAATTATAAAATTGCTACATGCAGAACTTCACTAAAACAAATGGCACCCACACTCCCACAAACACTGAAGAGCTTGATATTAAAATTTTCGATACAAATTTTGCAAAAGGTATACTGGGACACTGCGTCCTGGAATACTCCGAATTGGGCCACAAAACACGTTTTAACCCTAAAGGGGGCGGGGACGAAATCTGCCCCCGCCCCTCAACTTTTTCCCCGATAGCCTCGAGAAAATTTGTTCGCAACCAGAGCTGTTATGACTTTTTAGTCTCAAGCCTTGCGCATCTTTTGATACCAAAACATAAACATTGTACCACGGGTTGCCGCGCAACGGAAATTTTCGGCGCTACGTATACGCACTGTGAAAACTGAATTTCCCATACACGTAGTGTGCACAGAGCATAATTACCATTCAGTCGCGCATATGATTATTAGCCATAATTCCAAAACCCTTTAACCTATAGTCATGAAATTGCTGGGTTATGTTTATGATAAGTTATTCTATGCATGTACCGAGTTTCAAAACTTTTCGTCACTCGATAACCGAGATATTGGGAGCGCCCCCCCCCCCCCCCCCGGCTGAGAAATGGTCAAAATAACCCGGCTCTTTTAGGGTTAAACGAAATGATGTTAATCTGAAAGAGCATTTGAAGGTAGGATATAAACATCCACACAACTATCCTTAAAATGTCAGTAATGTGTACATGTATTTTCAATGTACATAAGTACGTATGTATACATAGCGACACCCATCTGCTAATTATAAGGCTCAAACTAGCCGTCAATTTCGTACGATATAAAAGCACTGAGTATCATTAACATAAAAATGTGGAAAACATGTACATGGTTCCGCTTATGACATCAGTCATGTCATAAATCGAAAATCTCAACGCCATAAATTACTTGGCTGGCTTCGGATTTTGTCGATTTGTCTCTATACTTAAGCCTATCACGGGATGATTAAATACCAATGAAGTTTTTTATGGTACTGGTACGATTAAAAAGGCATCTCTTCAACAAGTTTTACAAGTTTTACCATGGGTCTGGGCCCTTTTTAATAACAACCCCGCAAATTTGTAGGCACCATAGTGCGTACGACCCCATAATAAGAAAATAATCCACGCTTCACTATCTGTTTTGAGCATGATGTTTTAGAATAATACACTTGCAACTCTGCAAGTATTATTATTTCATGTGATGCTCGGCGAACTCATTGGTGTATCTACTATTATATAGAGGGCCTTTGGCTGGGCATTAAGGGTATACCAGCTCCTTTCTTTCCTTTATGGGTACAGGGTGAGTAAAAAAACGAAACTCAAATGTCGGGACACTTGTTTTAGTGAAGTTCTGCATGTAGCACTTTCAAAATCTAGGATATGAAAGCCCAACTCATAAGCTTTCTTTGAGTACAAGAATCATTCAAATCACTCATGCACTTTTCAAGTTACGGGATTTTAAACGCAACCACCGTTTTAAAGTTCCTTATGGGATTTGTTTTGGTATTGTTGAGAGAACACTGAACTTTTTTCTGATCCGTGATTTATGTCCGACATGCGTGCACAAAAGTCCGACATGCGTGCACGCGTGTATGACGCGCGCGGCAGGAAAATGCGGTGTGGCATTGGATAGGAGCACGTGTTAATTGCCCACGTGCGCAGTGGGAGGGGCTTACTGGATCGGTCCATTGCAGTACCCACGCACACAACATAACAACTATTTTGACGTAAAGGTATATTACAAATGCTAACTTTTTAAAATCTCTTGATCAGGTATACATACAACACATTCTGTCAGCCATGATGTGACGTATAATGGTGACTATACGATAATTAACTAATCTACTTATGGAAAAACATTCCAATTAAGAATACGCTACACAATTTGGAGGAAGACTTAAGATTGAGAACGCAAACTAATTGAAAACGGTGAAACCCGACGGCAATTGTGACTATCTAATTTAAGTAAAGTAGTGCCAGAAGGGCGTTTCTTTAGCATATACACCTCTACATTGTTATACATTTTGCTATTATGAATTTTCCTCGGTTATTTTTACACTTACATCACACAAAAATCCTCAAAACGACACATATTTTTCGTCCCAGAACATCGTCGAACTCAATTCTTAATTTCAATTATTTATAATATAGTTGCTTTACAATCATGCAGTAATCTAATATGCTTTTATTTTAATTCACATGTGATATATTGTATTTGTAATGTATTGTATTTGTACATGTGTGTATAAATATAAGTAGTGTATGCAGGGCCCCAATGGAAACCAGTTTTTAATTGTTTGGGCACACCCTGGGTAAAGAAATGTAATAAATAATATTTTAAAAGCCACCAATATATTTTATGTGACCGAGTTTAAGACAAAATGAAAACTTGCCTTGGAGAAGGTTTATCAGGCAAAGGCTAGGTACCGCGGTGTACACTCTAGAAATTCTAGGATCGAATCCGACCCGGAACTGTCATATTTTACGGTTGACCCTGACAATTTCCCGGGTCAAAATGACACTTCTCCACGTCAAATAAAATGACACTTTTTCGGGTCGAAACGACACTTCTCCGAGTCAAATTAAATGACACTTTTCCAGGTCAAAACGACACTTCTCCGAGTCAAATTAAATGACACTTCTTCGGGTCGAAACGACACTTCTCTGAGTCAAACAAAATGACGCGCCTCCGGGTCAAAATGACACTCCCCTTGGTCAAAATGACACTTTTCCGAGTAAAATTAAATGACGAGTCTCTGGGTCAAAATGACACTTCTTAAGTTCAAATTAAATGATTCGTCTCCGGGTCAAAATGACACTTCTCCAGGTCAAAATGACCCTTCTCCGGGTCCAACTAAATGACACTTTTCCGGGTCAAAATGACACTTGTCCTGGTAATTTTCCGGTCATTTTGATCAGAAGTGTTATTTTGATCCAGACAAGTGACATGTTCAAGTATGACCTGGAATTTACTGACACAGTATTTTTAGAATGCATCACCGCGTGATATTCATAGTCAACCACTCGTTGGATATTTTTGAGGCAAATATTGTTATTATAACTTCACAACATGACTACATTGTTATATCGCCCTTCCCGTCCGATGTATGGATCTGCTCCTACCAAATTGTATGATGAGAACCATTTCTTACATAAAATGTACGAAGATGTTCGAAGGTACAACTTGTCGCTCGACTTGATTCAATTGTTAGTTGTTGTCAAGTTGGAACCGTGTTTTAATTTTCGAGACAAGTTCCCTCATTGACGCCTCATTCGGACAGGCCAGTTTATCAGCAATCTCTTGAATTGCCTTGGCCATCCTGGAGACATCTCCAGTGAACGTGTCCAGTATGTGAACTATGATCCTATCTAGATCTACTGTAAGGACCACGAACTGGACGAATTCCCCGCGGCCTTGGCCCTCAATCTTCTCGATTGCGTCCTCCCCCCTTTTCAGATTCACCTTATCCACCCTGACCAAATCGTGAATGGAACCAATCAGTACCCCTTCTTCTTTGCCCTCCCACTCCCTCAATGTTAAATCAACCTTTTCTAGAGTCTCCTGGACTCTGTCGCATGCTACCTTGTCTTTGGCCATGAACATCTTCGCTTCATCTGTGGATATTTTGGCGGTGACCGCTTGGATGATGATAGCCACAATCGCGACCACGGCACCTGCCGCAGCAGCTGATAGAAGATACGAAACGCCGAATGTGAACAAAGCTAATCCAGCGCTGACTCCCCCCACCGCCTATGCACAGAAATATAAAAAATAGACAATTTTCACAAAGGGAGTAGACCAGTGCGCCTTGCGTTTTTAAAACAAAAGGAAGATGAATTAAAATTTCACACCAAAAGGCACTGGGATATTCTTCCCAATTGGTATTCAGCAGACAAACAATTAAAGCTATACCTTTTTATACGAGTTTGTTCACTGTTTACGATGTTTAGTTTAGGTTTTGGCACTTTATCGTATTTTGACAATCATTTGGGGAATCTCCTATTCTGATGTGTCTCAAATGTAATGTGACCCCACGCACCAGCCAATCAGAGTCGACTTTAGGAATTGTGATGTCATTTCGAGCAGAAATTCGGCCTACGCTTTTGTTGGTGAACTAGCTGCCATGTTTTTTTTAATACAATAACGGTTCACCGAAGACCTGATAGAAAGCGTCCGCTGAACGGTCAGAATCTGGAGGTCTAGACGCATTTGTTTCTGCTCGCATATCATTATAGATTCGTTCAATAGTCTGAGGATCACTATCATATATGCTTACTGTGCAAGCGGCTGTGCCATAGTATGCCAAGCTTGGGGCAAGTTCGTGCAAGAACTATTGTTGACCATTGGTCATAGTTCGGCTAAAGTTAGCCCGAACTCTATCTAGTCGACGATGGTTGACTCAGTACGCTAGTCGACTAACCTACTGGGGCTGGTTGCATCGCTGGTAACTAATAGCCACGCGCATTCATAACGTACAGCAGGGAGCCAGGATCCAGAAGTTTTGCGATGACATTTTGACCAGCGTTTGACTATAGAGACGTTAGCACGTTGCTATTAGTGCGCAGGCGTAATGTACGTCACAAATCAACCACAAGTCGACTAATGGTCCTTGCCCGAACTTGGCCTTGGCTTAAATTAAAAGTTCATAAAAAATTACAGAAAAACAAAACACACGTCGAATCTTACCGCAGCTGCTTGAGCTTGCTTCTGGCGTCGAGTTATGTACTCCACTAAATCCCTGAGTAACTCGAGCGTCTTCACCCGGCGACGAACATACTCACCAGCTGCATCTTCGAATTCTTGCACCTTCTTTCTCAGCTCATTCTTCATTTTGGCTGGAAAAAAAAGAGAGGGGTAATTTTTTTTGATGCAGTCCTTGAAAATGCACATTGGTGTCCCATTTAACGTATTTTCAATTTACATTTTGCCATTTTCAAGAGTATTTTGGGCTTTGGGGTTTTTTTATGCTATGCAAAATCTATATTCATGAGCGACCATGTGATGTCATTTCAGGCAGACACCTCAATGTTACAACTAGTTTCAGCACAAAAACATTGCCAGAATTTTGGATATTTCTTTTCTCTAACGATTCGTTGTTGTGTCAGTATACCAATGAGCAAACTTTCTCACAAATGTTTTCAATGAGCACAATTTTGGGTTCACAATTTGAACAGAAAACACCTAAAATATACAGTGTCTTCCTGAAATATGACATCACAGCAACAGCGCCCTCAGTGCAGTGGTTCAGTAAAGCTTGGACATTTTTGTTCGATGTTAAAAGAAGTGCATTTTTGTTGCAGAAAATAATGTTTCTAAGAAGTATTTAAAACAAGGCAGGTATTAAAAGGGTGGTGGCATTTTTCGATAATGTCAACCCCATCATCCAGATCAACAGGAGCTGTTTAGAGTCTTAACTCCATCTTAGGCCGCAAAAAATATAGGAGCGTCAAAAAACATCTCAGCAAACGCCTGCTAAACCCCTAGCTCTTGATCCAAACCTGAACCCGCCCCGCTACCATTGACTTATCAAAAAGGTAGGCCAGCTTGAGAAAAAGATGAGAGGGATCTAATTGTTGGAGTTACTTAAACAGTTATTTTGTGATGATCTACACGAACCCTTTTCCTCCTCAAAGAATTTGCGCGCCTGTACGATGTCTTCCTCGACCACCCTCAGACCATTGACTGGGAACTCTCTGCCCAGCAGCTGCTTGAGATCTCCGCTGTTGCACATGGCCAGGAGTTTCTCCAGGCCTTTCTGGCTCCCGACCCGCAGGGTGAGCTCCACGCATCCTTTGCGGATGCGGAGGACGTTGCAATCGCAGTTTTGTTGGAGTTCCCTCATCGTAATCGACGAGTTCTCCCCCTTTTCGTCTATCATGCTGACCATCCGAACAAGCAACTCTGGCGGCCCTTCAAGCTTGATACGCACCTCTGTTTGACAAGTCATTTATTGCACACATTAACAACACTGTAAAAAGCAGTCCAAAAATCACATAGTTTATGAATCAAGACGACTTTCATTTGGTGACAATAAAGGGACAAGGTCCTTGAGTTGAATAGAGGGGCCTGTTTCATCGCTTTGAGACAGGAATTCTAATTTGGTAGCTGCTTCAATTCACACTCCAAAAAAGTTCCGGGTCATACAGATTCGACCCGTCTTTTCCGGGTCCACAGGACATTTTTCCGGGTCAAAAAGACAATTTTCCTGGGTGGTAAACTGATAATGTCCCCGATAAAAATGACATTTTTACTGTTTACTCGTCCTCAGGGTTATTGTGACCCGGAAAGTGTCAAGCCCAAAAGAACCCAAATTCCTGGTCAAGTCCAAGCCGGGACTTTTCCGAGTGCAGTCATCATAACCGTTTGGATGTCATCGTCATGAACCTATTTATTTACCAATACATTTAACTGCTATACAGATGGGGGCAATAATAAACTATACACGACACGTCTTAATTCGGGCGATTTACAACACAATGCGCCACCAAGAGTTTGTCATGGCGGGTCAATTTTTCAAGTTTACGGTCGGACAATGGCCGATTTGAATGAATGTCATGCAGTAGAAAACTTGAAAGTTGTTATTGATTGGGGCATACCGACGGTCGTCTTACAAAAACAAAACACCAATACGCCAGTGATGAAAAGAAAAGAAAAGGCCAAACAGATAGGCCTACTCGAATGATGACCACAAAAAAAACGAACAATTTCAAATATCCCGCGCTTGACTTTAAATTTGTCAACCATCTCCCACAATGCACTAGACAAAATGGCTCTCCGTGGCAAACTCTTGGTGGCGCACTGCATTGTGAATTGCCCGAATCGGGTGTTATATTTCTTGTGAATAAAACCTTATTAAAAAAAATCCTTAGATGAACTTATTACTACCTGGTCCGTAGTTGATTGTGTTCCCAGAGCTTGTTCCGATGGTAATGAGGCCGTTGAAATTTCCAAAGTGGAAGTGATTTTCGATTTTGGGGCCGTCAGGCGGGAATTTCTTCTCACCTACAGAAATTTAGAAAATAATTACTGATAATAATAACGGAGTCTTATAAAGCGCACGTATCTACCAACAATTAGGTACTCAAGCGCTACAGCAGCGGAATCAATCCCCATCAGAATACAAATGTCGATGTATGACGTGCATTTATACTTCTGCCCCCCCCCCCCTTCTGGTGGAGGGCAGGGGACAGATAATTATGTAAATAGGAAAATGCTGCCCCGTCAATTCCCAAGTACCCCCGCCCTGACAGGACGCTGGGATACTTTGATGAATTCACGCTCTGATTGGTTGCACATGCAAATGATCCAATACCAGGGTGAGAGAGCAGGTAGTGGTGGGCGCGTACTGCTCGACACCATGGGGACGAGGTTGCCCATGCGACCCGTTTGCAGGGCGGGGCGTACGAGCGAACCCCGTCAAGGTCAATCTGTCCCCTGTCCATGCAGGCCAATGTGATGTCTCTGGGTCCTTATTCACAAAGCACCCGTAAATGCTTGCGGGCGCGCAACTTCCCCGCAACCCGCACTTAAGCACTTGCGCGTTATTCACGAAGCCCCCTTAAATCTGCGTGTGCCCGTAAACCACCCTTAAATTTGCGGGACCTCCAGACGTCGCGCAAGCACACCACAACTTGCGTGGATCATCTCGATTGTCACAATGGCGGCACTCTTGGCATGTATTTTGGATCTACGAACTGAATCGACGTGCCGGTTCATCTTCCGTGACCGGTTAAACCAACTATAGGATGAGTTAAAAAGAAAGTGACCGAATTTGAAAAATGTGTTCAAAATATTTGGCGCGTTCCATTTTCATGGGCGTCAATCGGTGGGGGACAAGTCCTCCCTCCACTTTTTTTTTAAGTGGTGGATATCATATCGTTGCCCCCCCCCCCCCCCACACACACTTTTCTATCCCCGAATAAAAATTGAAGCCTACATAATGATTCTATAGTAGCTGATTCAATGACCCCAAACTCAAAAAATGATGTTTAAAAGATTATCTTTTGCTCACAAAAGTGGTTTGAGTGCTCAGAAATGGCCTCAGATCGCACCACAGAGCAAGCATCTAGAATCCAAAAATGTTCGGGCCCGCTCCATGCCGTAATAGGTATGTCCTCCACTTTTGGGAAGCGACTGCCGCCCTTTTTTATGGGACGAAGTACATCTTATGGGATTTTAAGTGTGAACATTTCACTTAAATTGCACAGTCTAATCCTAAGTTATGTCTATTTCAATAAAACGATCACAAACTTATTTACCACTCATCACGTGATGCAAACTGAACAACCATTGAGTACAATGAAACGTGGACTTTCCCACCTCCACTGAATGAAGAGCATGGGAAAGGATACAAAAATCCCATCAATATTAAAAAAAAAAATAGAGCTACCTTGTATCTTATATACTGAAAGCACACATTCTGACAGTGGTTTCTGTCTTGAGTTCAGTTATTAAAGGGAACCTGCAAAAGGATTTGTATGACTTAAATAGATTTAAAACAGCTTTCTTGCCATGTTACTATGACTTTCAACCTTATTTTGTAGTAGTAAAAGCGAGAAATTTCAACATTTCAATTGTTATGCTATTGAACAGTTCCATATTCATGAGCCAAAGCGTGATGTCATTCAAAGCAGAACAAAAGTGTCTCTACAGCTTTGTGTACAAATATATATCAAACTTTTCTTTATTTTCTTGCAGTAAGTTCCACTTTTTACTTGCTTATCATATTAAACAGCTTGTTTGGACACTAGCAGTCGCCACTAGTTTTTTCGATGCTTTTTTTGTGGGTAACTTTGAAGGAGTTATGTTTGTACTGTTCATATGCACTTTTGACAAGGAGCTCCTTGTGCAACAAAAGCAAAATAGCGCCCGTAATAGGTTTTCCCGGCCAATTTCCTAAAATGTTCATTCACTTCTGAAAATCGGTCATTCGTTTTCGTCTGAATTTGAATGCACGTCTTTAATCCCATTTCAATTCAACGAAAGTTCAATCGTTTTCATTGTCCGTGCATTCGGTTTTGAGAAACAGACGGCCAATTACCAGATTACGTTACCTGCGCATTCATTTACGCGAGCATACCTTTTCGCGCAGAGTTCTGGAATACAATTTCGTGAATGTGCAATATAAAGTGCGTTTTTCTCATTCAAACTTAGCAGATTGCATCACATAACATTAAACTAAAAGTGAAATAAAATGACTAATTTTTGAAATCGCCCTCTAAAAGCGAAAAAGGAAGTCTTGTAAACGAATCTGAATGAGCATAAACGAAATGTGCTGCTCAATCACTTAATTGATTGAATGGAAATGAAATCGAATGCTCCGATAGCGAAAATGCATGTGTTCAGAGCGATTCTCAAATTCCGACGAAAACGAATGACCGATTTTCGGAAGTGAATGAACATTTTAGGAAATTGGCTGGGAAAATCTATATATACCATGAACAGAGCCCCTAACGTCATCTGGTGTGTCCAGCCTCGGTAGCCTCCCCCCTTTCGCCCCCGAATTTCCACAAGTGGAGGATTTGGGGTCTTATCCACCCCCAATCTTCGACACGGATGTACCCCATGGCCCACGGATGACCAAACACTAAATACTGAATTTACATGTTAACTATAAACTTCATTCCCCCCCCCAAAAAAAAGGAGAAAATGCAACTGACTTCCCTTTTTGACCTCCTGCAATTACAATGAAAATCACGAAAAGACAAATTCAATGGAAAGCCTTGTCCCAAGATATAGGCCTAATTAAAGAGACAATTTTATTTACATTGATTTCGGCAATAATATCAAGTTTGACTGACACAACTGTAACATAATTATTATTTTATATTTTAAAACAACAGAAAACACACTTAAAACGAAAACGTGTGAATACTTTTAATCACAATCGATATAGAGAAAACTGCAGCACTCAGAGAAAACTGCAACACTTGGTATATTAAATAATTTTCCCTCAGAAGGACCATCAAAATACATGTATTAGCGCATAATAGCCAGCACTTCTCCAATTCATTAATTGTTTAGTCTTCGCAATTTGCAATCTTTCTCTTTTTTTACACAAATTTTCATAATTCAAAAAGTATATTTGCAATGTGTGTTCCTTTCATAAAAAAATCGGTCTTGTGTTTCCATCACACATCTCTAAAAAATAAATCCTACTATTCAGGCCACCTTGGTAACATGCACTGTGTTTATATATAAACATGTATGTTTACCATAAACGCCTGCGTGTTACTAAGGTAGTGTGAATAGGCCTAAGCCTACACAAGTTCAACCCTGCACGCCGTCCTTTTTTTCTCGTAACCATAACTGTAAACCATTTCACAAAATTGTTTGTCTGGAGTTTCAGAATCTTTAATAGCCTATACAACATTTATTTTTAGCTGCACCACCCGGATCGTGAATCAAGTGCTGTCAAACCAAAAGGACATGAGTCATTCGCATTATTGTTAAACCTAAACTGCGAGGGGAATTTCAGGCGACGACTTTCTTTGATCTCATTTGCAATTGGTAAGGCCAAAAAAAAAAGTCTCCGGTTTCTGGTATGCGCGCGCGTCGCTGTAGCCATGCGCGTCGGCAAAATGAAAAAGTTTTTTTTTTTCAATGAAAGATGATGTCTCAAAACCGCCAAACTCACTGGTTTGACTGGAATCCTGCTGCTGCACATTTTTAACGTGTTTTTAGATGAGTTATGGTCGAGAATAAGCTTTATGTGGCCTCTCTGGACTCCCAATCCCATATTGGCCTATTTGTACTAAGTTTAGTCGGGCACCATTTGCAGTCATCAGCCGACATTTGGTGCCCGACTGCACTTTTCTCTATATCGAATGTGATTAAAAGTATTCACACGTGTTCGTTTTAAGTGTGTTTTCTGTTGTTTTAAAATATAAAATAATAATTATGTTACAGTTGTGTCAGTCAAACTTGATATAATTGCCGAAATCAATGTAAATAAAATTGTCTCTTTAATTAGGCCTATATCTTGGGACAAGGTTTTCCATTGAATTTGTCTTTTCGTGATTTTCATTGTAATTGCAGGAGGTCAAAAAGGGAAGTCAGTTGCATTTTCTCCTTTTTTTGGGGGGGGGGAATGAAGTTTATAGTTAACATGTAAATTCAGTATTTAGTGTTTGGTCATCCGTGGGCCATGGGGTACATCCGTGTCGAAGATTGGGGGTGGATATGACCCCAAATCCTCCACTTGTGGAAATTCGGGGGCGAAAGGGGGGAGGCTACCGAGGCTGGACACACCAGATGACGTTAGGGGCTCTGTTCATGGTATATATAGATTTTCCCAGCCAATTTCCTAAAATGTTCATTCACTTCCGAAAATCGGTCATTCGTTTTCGTCGGAATTTGAGAATCGCTCTGAACACATGCATTTTCGCTATCGGAGCATTCGATTTCATTTCCATTCAATCAATTAAGTGATTGAGCAGCACATTTCGTTTATGCTCATTCAGATTCGTTTACAAGACTTCCTTTTTCGCTTTTAGAGGGCGATTTCAAAAATTAGTCATTTTATTTCACTTTTAGTTTAATGTTATGTGATGCAATCTGCTAAGTTTGAATGAGAAAAACGCACTTTATATTGCACATTCACGAAATTGTATTCCAGAACTCTGCGCGAAAAGGTATGCTCGCGTAAATGAATGCGCAGGTAACGTAATCTGGTAATTGGCCGTCTGTTTCTCAAAACCGAATGCACGGACAATGAAAACGATTGAACTTTCGTTGAATTGAAATGGGATTAAAGACGTGCATTCAAATTCAGACGAAAACGAATGACCGATTTTCAGAAGTGAATGAACATTTTAGGAAATTGGCCGGGAAAACCTATTACGGGCGCTATTTTGCTTTTGTTGCACAAGGAACTCCTTGTCAAAAGTGCATATGAACAGTACAAACATAACTCCTTCAAAGTTACCCACAAAAAAAGCATTGAAAAAACTAGTGGCGACTGCTAGTGTCCAAACAAGCTGTTTAATATGATAAGCAAGTAAAAAGTGGAACTTACTGCAAGAAAATAAAGAAAAGTTTGATATATATTTGTACACAAAGCTGTAGAGACACTTTTGTTCTGCTTTGAATGACATCACGCTTTGGCTCATGAATATGGAACTGTTCAATAGCATAACAATTGAAATGTTGAAATTTCTCGCTTTTACTACTACAAAATAAGGTTGAAAGTCATAGTAACATGGCAAGAAAGCTGTTTTAAATCTATTTAAGTCATACAAATCCTTTTGCAGGTTCCCTTTAATAACTGAACTCAAGACAGAAACCACTGTCAGAATGTGTGCTTTCAGTATATAAGATACAAGATAGCTCTATTTTTTTTTTAAATATTGATGGGATTTTTGTATCCTTTCCCATGCTCTTCATTCAGTGGAGGTGGGAAAGTCCACGTTTCATTGTACTCAATGGTTGTTCAGTTTGCACACGTGATGAGTGGTAAATAAGTTTGTGATCGTTTTATTGAAATAGACATAACTTAGGATTAGACTGTGCAATTGAAGTGAAATGTTCACACTTAAAATCCCATAAGATGTACTTCGTCCCATAAAAAAGGGCGGCAGTCGCTTCCCAAAAGTGGAGGACATACCTATTACGGCATGGAGCGGGCCCGAACATTTTTGGATTCTAGATGCTTGCTCTGTGGTGCGATCTGAGGCCATTTCTGAGCACTCAAACCACTTTTGTGAGCAAAAGCTAATCTTTTAAACATCGTTTTTTGAGTTTGGAGTCATTGAATCAGCTACTATAGAATCATTATGTAGGCTACAATTTTTATTCGGGGATAGAAAAGTGTGTGTGGGGGGGGGGGGGGCGGCAACGATATGATATCCGCCACTTAAAAAAAAAGTGGAGGGAGGACTTGTCCCCCACCGATTGACGCCCATGAAAATGGAACGCGCCAAATATTTTGAACACATTTTTCAAATTCGGTCACTTTCTTTTTAACTTATCCTATACTTATAGTTGGTTCAACCGGTCACGGAAGATGAACCGGCACGTCGATTCAGTTCGTAGATCCAAAATACATGCCAAGAGTGCCGCCATTAATTGTGACAATCGAGATGATCCACGCAAGTTGTGGTGTGCTTGCGGGACGTCTGGAGGTCCCGCAAATTTAAGGGTGGTTTACGGGCACACGCAGATTTAAGGGGGCTTCGTGAATAACGCGCAAGTGCTTAAGTGAGGGTTGCGGGGAAGTTGCGCGCCCGCAAGCATTTACGGGTGCTTTGTGAATAAGGACCCAGGCCTGGGGCAGTTGCAAGTGTTGTCTAGCCGACAGGAACAATGGCACTTGGTTTATCTCCTGCACAAAGTCGGCCATCGGTTGTTGCAAACTCGGAAACTTCATCCATGGTATGTGGATGGAGCGGAAACAGTTACTGCGATGTATGCGAAACCTTGAGAATTACTTTAGGCGTGCAATTGTTTTGCAGGTCGACGATTGACGATCGTATACAAAACATAATGGCAAGTCTTTCTAAAAGCTTCACTAAAAAAAGACAACAGGGGGTCCACCATGGGCGTCGCGAGGGGGGGCAAAGGGCGCTTCCCCCCCCCCCCCCTCCTCCTCCTCCCGGAAAGGTAAAAAGGAGGGGGAAAAGAGGGGGGGGGGAAGGAAAGAAAAAGAAGCGCGAAGTCATAGTGGTGTAAATTTAATGAGCTGGGGGCCAAAAATGTCCCTGCCCCCCTCTAAAACTAATAAATGGAGAATTTGAGTGAACAAAAGTTGGCCTGCGATCATTTCCCTGATAATAGTATATATCGTGCACTTACCGTCGTCAGACCCTCCGGATGCCATTGTCAGCAGCCGGACATTGAGTGTGGCGCTTCAGACCGAAACCTGTGACCTGCAGTACGGCTCCAGTATCAGCGGTTCTCAGTGCACTCAGATCGCGAGTAGTGTACTTGTACTTCGGTTGAAGATAACAGGGTTGTTCGTGTTGAACAATTTACACAGCTCAGTTGAACGATGTCTGCTACAAAATGCATGAAACTTGAAGGGCTTTTGCAACATCAGGGGAATTATTATTATGTTTCTATATCGCTTCAGCTCAATCGCTCAATGTGCACGGTGGCCATGATGGATCGAATCCCTTGCCTACTGACTAGAGCACTGGGCTATAGAATAATAGGATCTGTGCACGTCCACATATTTTGCATAACTGCATTAAACTTGACTAAGTCGATATGAGGAACAGTACAGGGCTGTATTGGGTTTATCAAAAGCGTTCTTCAATAAACATGTATATAGTTATGTAATATAATCTGTGTATAATTATACAAATTAACCATTCTCTGAGGGTATTGTCTAATTCACTGCACTGTGTACTGAATCTTTACAAGCGTCGTTTGCAACACTCAAACACGGTGGACTTGTAGCAAGTCTAATATGAATGGGCTGGGAATTAATTGGGGAAACCCCTTCAAACATTGCGCTGCGCGTGAGCATTTCGCAACTTCAGTTCGATAGGGGGAAACCCACATTTCGAAATAAATATCTTCAAGGATGCCATACAGGAGCCAATCGCAGGTTTTTCACCCATTCATTCATTCATTCATTCTTTATTATTTTTACCACATCTCATTTTATTAAGTGACGCATAAAAACATACATGTAGTGTTAGATATTAAGAAATTAGAGCTGGTTTTTACAAAATATACACTTTGGGCGCATTATTTAAATTAGAGATGATGGAAGGGGATCCGCAAAAGCGGAGCTTGTCGAGTAGGGATCCCCTTTAACATGAATTAATACAAACATTTAATGAAAAACAAATGAAAAACAATTGAACATATAAATTGTAAATTCTACATAAAACACGGAAAAACATTTAAAACCAATAATATTCCTGATCAGAAAAAAAAGAAATACCGGCGGAGTAGTAATTAACCCAGTAAGAAGATTAATCTGAGCTATTGTAATCAGTGATAGTAAATTCGATTTAAGTTTGGATTTAAATAATGGAAGGCTACGAATGTCCTGCACATGAAGTCATTTAGGACTCAGTACTTAGGGCCTTCCGATCCGATGCCTAATTGTCTTTTTGTTAATTAACAGTTGTTCTTGCAAATGAAAAGTGAAATTCTCTACGTCGTCGGGTAACTATGGTAACTGGAGTGTCATGGCCTAGCGGTTATTAGAGCACCGGACTCATGCTTCGAGGCAACAGTGGCGTGGGTTCGTGGGGGGTACGCGAGCGAATTTCATCAATGTTTTGGGGAAAAGATAGAGGGCGCTGTTTTCAAACGCCACGCGTACGGCCGGTCGCTGAGTTGAGTTGAGTGCGGTGTTGATGTTGGAAATAGTGTTGATTGTTTTTTGACGGGTCAGGCGCAGGTACGGTACTTATTCTGTATCAAACTTTGTCAGCAGAATTTGTGTCGAGTTAATGGTTAGATCATATGTTTGACGATTTTGGCTCGTCCTGAAAAACTAGACTAGCCTAGACTAGTACCGACAATAGTATGTGTCGTCCATAGAGCTACAGTGTAGGCTAGCCCAGGTGGACTCCCTTTCCGGTTTTCCCTCCCCGGCCTGCGTAACGGAGGGAGTCCAGGGTATGAAATGCTCAAAACCGGGCGAAAAAATTTATGACCAATATTTTCAATATTTTTATTTTACCTTGTTGGAGAAGCCAATTTTTACGTCGTAGTATTCTATGTGTTCTTATCTATTGGGCCGCTTATGTAGAGAATTCTCATCCTGGACATCAGTCGTAATGTAATGATGAATGAAGACTTTGTCCAACCTGGGCTACAGTGTAGGCCTGGAGTAGCCCCACTAGTGTGGCCGTCGGTATGCTGCGCTGAACCTCTGAGGTTCAGCGCAGCATACCGACGGCCACACTAGTGGGGCTAGGCCTGGAGTAGCTTGAGTAACTCCAGCTGACATGCTCATATTCATTCACATGTAATGCTGGAGGCATAACCTGTTCATTAGAATGTGGTAGCAAGAGACCCTAAAAAATGGCTTTGATAACACACCGGTTTGGAATACAAACGCAGAAATTTTATATGCAAATAGCCGTACAAAATCTGTACAAAATTTCTAGGTCTATAGGTTTGTGCACAAACATGGATGCGCCCAGCAGGCATCACTTTGTACATGAAGTTAGCGCTCTATCTAGACCCGCGCTTCCCTCGGGTAAATACAAGCGAAAGCATTCTATCTTTTGATCCGCTACATATAACCATGTATAATTTTGCTTATGGGTGAATCACTTACTTGTTGTGCTTCCTGTGAATATACGCGAGTGATGGAGCTGTCATTGCCAAGAACTTTGATGTAAAATACGGCACAACTTTGTCACAACGAATGTTTCAAAATGATCAGAAATCTAAGACAGGCATGACACTCTGGTACCCCGAGTTCCGCATGCGCAAAACGGTTGGAGTATCACCAGTGGGTACCCGACTAACAGTCTTACATGGCAGGCTGACCGTAATACCATATATATTTCTGCTAAATCCACTTCGAAAGTCTGTCAAATCACCCAGTATAATTGCTGGTCCATTGTGCAGGGGTTTGTTTCAGGGATCTTTCAATAAATGAAGGTTTTTCAAACCAAATGTGCCATATTTCTCTAATCGTTTTCATTTTTCCTTCATCTTCATAATTCTGCCGAAAAAAAATATTCTGCTGATTTTCTGTACAACTCATTTATGTATGCAAATATTCTGTCAAATGTAGCCGAAATTCGGCTAGAACGGTCACTCCATCTTAGTAACCGCGGGTCACAATAGAGTGTTTTTACTATAGACTGAAGCGTGGCTATGTATATAGCCACATTCACGGGTCTACGCTCTATCATGCGTCAGACCTCCTGAGTCCTTCCTAAAAATGATGCGGAATTTGACGCGCAATCCATTCAATTTGCGTTGGACAACGCGCGCGCGCGTTGCAAGCGTTACCTGCGTCATCCGGCTTGTTATTAAAAAAACGTCATACACGCACGCGCACCACTGATTACTAGCGCCCATTGGATTGGCTGCAAACACTCGAGCTGTTAACTTCCGGTTCCAATTGTGCAGAAAGTGCTGGAAGTGACATCACACTAACGAACTGGATTGATGGTGGCTCAAGGATCCTTATCCTCAAGTCACCTTAATTGAAGCAGGTAACGCTTGCAACACGCGCGCATTGTCCAACGTAAATTGAATGCAAGTGTGTCAAAACATATCCTCATCATTTTTTTAGGAGGTCTGACTATACTTTAAGTTACTCTCTAGGGGCTATGCAAAATCGTATTGAAAATGGACGATTTCAAGACTGTTGGTTAACGTTCTCTGCCCAATTTTGGTGAATTTTGCTGGCTAAAGAGTACGTAAAGTTGGGCTGATTTCGTTTGGCATACGTTTTTCAGCACTCAAGGTTCCGGGCTGGATGCCCCCCCATCCACCCATTGTCACATCCACCTCCCCCCCCCCCCCAACACCCACTGTAATATCCAGCCCCCCCCCCCTCACACCCACTGTACACATCCAGTCCCCCCCCCCCCACCTACTGTAACATCCAGCCCCTCCCTCCCTCCCCATGATGCAGGCATGCAACCTTTTCTCGGACCTGCTGATTTCCTCGTTTTGCACTTCTAAAGAATGCCATTACAACTTGAAAAACACTGTTCAAAGTCTTGTGTGGCTTGGAATTTCCTTGTTTTTTTCTCAAGCCCAGATGCATGCCTGATGATGAGAATGCTGGCTACACCGCTGCTGGCGAGTGGATCCCAAGGGCATACAAGCTTCAAAAGTTCAAATCTAGCTTCCGTCAATTTCTTCGTTCGACTTGAACAATAATTTATCTTCACATGTATGTGACTTTCTTGTTTCCCATTCTGCAGGAATCTACTCTGAATGGCCAGAAGTGTGCCTGATATGTCAGTATTGGGCAAACGCGGAGACAGAATTGGAAACACAATCAACCTACTAGGGGAAGGATTTCAAAAGTGCTCTACCAACTTGTACCATGTCGAGACAAACCCCAACGTGAGTTCCATGTCAGTTTGCTCTGGCGAATCCAAATCTTTTGGAATCTATTCTCAGTGACACATTCCATTTTTATTTGAATACAAATTTTATCTGTCAACATGGTCAAGAAAAACAGCAGTGAAGAAAGATAGTCATTGGGCTTTCTTGAGGTACACGTACCATGCAAAATGCAACAAAATCAAAACACAACTGAAGTGAAAACCCTGCTACATGTAAATGCAGCAAGATGCAACAGTGGTTTCTGTTGCATCGCGCAGTGAGCCCAGTATACACCAACCTTGTCACCAAGCACTTACCCCGCTAAATACAACACAATCCAACACAACTGAAATGAGAACCCTACTAAATGCAACAAGATGCAACAGTGGTTTCTGTTGCATAGCGCAGTGAACCCAGTATACACCAGCCTTTCACCAAGCGGTAACCCTGGTAAATGCAACACAATCCAACACAACTGAAATCAGAATGCTGCTAAATGCAACAAGATGCAACAGCCTTAATTGTCACCGGCCAAGCAGTAACCCTGCTAAATGCAACACAATCCAACATGACTGAAATGAGAACCCTGCTAAATGCAGCAAGAATCAACAGTAGATTCCGTTGTATTGTGCACTGAACCCAGTATTCACCAGCTTTGGCACCAAGCACTTACCGTGCTAAATGCAACACAATCAAACACAAAAGGTGCTAAATGCAACAAGATGCAACACTAGATTCCGTTGCATTGGACAGTGAACCTAGTATTCACCAGCCTCAGCACCATGCAGTTACCCTGCTGAATGCAACAAAATCCAACACAATTGAAATGAGAACCCTGCTAAATACAACAAGATGCAACAATGGATTCTGTTGCATAGCGCTGTGAATGCCAGCCTTTGCAACAAGCGGTAACCTTGCTCAATGCTACCAAATGCAACATGGGTAATTCTGTTATTTTGCAACTATACGCAGTTACCCTGCTAAGTCCAACAAGATGCAACAAAGCACTGGGACGTGGGTTGCCTGCTAAATGCAGCAGTAGGCCCTATGCAACAACGTTGTACCACCGTTGCCATATGTTGCATTTGCCATATGTTGCGTCTTAAGAAGCACCGTAGGAAAATTTAAATTAGTAGTTCGTTTTGTTATTCAGCGCAGCGCGCGCAAGCATTGGCACGACGCACAGGCGCAAGAGGTTGCTATAATTCGTCGGATCAGTGCGCGACATCGCGTAAAGCTGCAATTCAAAACAATTCAAAACATGATTTAGCAACTTTTGATTTGAAATTGAGATCCTAGAACGCTGTTTTTCTTGGAATATAGTCAGCTGAAGCTGAGCTGAAACTTCATCAGGTTAGTTGGTCAGTATCCTTCATTGGATTTTTGAACACTTTTGTTGCTTCAAACGAACAAAATGCACAAATTACAAATGATGGACTACCGGTACCGGTATGTCTTTTAACTACAAATAAAGTCTGAACGCGACAAATTATAAAATTACAAAGTCCTAAATGTTTGGATAGGTTATGCGGTTGTGGCATATATTTACGGCAGGCAGTCCAGTAAATTGGCCACATTTATGGGGCTATGGGCTCCGTGCACCAACAAAAGAGGGCGCCCTTTTACCTAGCAATGACATCCATGGGCGGGACCATTGGGCAGGACAATTACATTTCGCTGGTTGATGCGCGCGCACCGTTCCTTGTGTGTGACGCACATGTGTACACAAGGGGATTTGTACTATGTACATACACGTTGTGGCCGCGCTCCGCAGCAAAATATTGCAGTCAGGCAAGATGGCGTCGTTCGGTCACCCCCAACTGTACTTTCTTTGCTGGTGAGGAGGTACTTATGAACAAAGCGGATAGTCCCCATGGTTCCATGGTCCTTTCCAAAACATCCTTCAAATGCTGTGTGCTTCCGGTAGGATACCTATATGCCTACATTGTGTAATTCCAGAGTGGGAACTGATATCGCACAGTGTATCTCTCTGATAATGGAAGACAGTTCGTCAGTCACCAGTCTTGTGTTGACTCAAAATTTGCTTCTCAAAATACGTATCCATGGACACAACCTCATTTCCATGGGTCATTCTTGCCTTGTGCAATCTTAACCCCTTGAATTGTGTAATTTAAATGTCCCACTATTTGGGACATTTAAATTAAGATTGCAGTTGATGTATTTAAAGGGACACTGGGTCCTGGAACAGCCCAATTGGGCTACAAAACGCGCTTTGAATGAGATGATGTTGATCCACACAACTGGGTGTTTTTGTGTTATTCCTGTATTATGCATGCGAGAACAAATTTCGGGGTCCACTTTTGCGACCCCATAAATTCGAACTGTATGGACACTAGTTGTGATTTCATTTGTAAAGTGTTCGCCTTTTGCGGATGTTGAAGAAACTACTTTTTTGCATTGGTGATTTGTCACCACTGTTCCCGAGACAGACAACGTGTATCGTACTCTGAAAACGACACGAAAAATGTATTCGTACTCCGTTGTGTCCAATTTAAGCAACCTTTTTTTTTTTTTGTCTTTTCTCGGGAACGGTAAGACATTAGGTTGGTTTCCATTCAACCAGATGTTTGAAATAGGCTAAGTAAACAATCCAAAACATGAAATTTTGGTGGATTTCAGGACCTAGTGCCCCTTTAACATGCGACGCAGTGCTTAAAATTTTGAAATTTTTATTTTGTAGAATCAATCCTTTAAAACATGAGATTTCGACGTCGTGCTATTTAGCCAGGATTTACATGTATTTTAAATGGACTTAACTCTGTCGTCCCTTTACAATACAAGATACAGTTCTTTTGGCATTAGGCTTCCAGGATCCATTTTGTACTGACATTGGGCAGACTGAAAAAAAACTGTTCGTACGTGAGGTGACATTCAGACCGCGCGAGCCCATTACATGCAGGGTGAGCAGTTTTCGTAATACGCGCGCACTACGCACTGAATAGCCAGTCAGCATCGTTTTCGTATTTCTCATGGCTATGGATTAAAGGGAATGTTCAACATTTGCTTTTGCTTCAAATTTCATAAACAAATGGATTTCGAGGATTACGATGTTACAGCAAATATTGTTAAAATGACTTGTTTCATGTTTTGGGCTTGTAGATGCTGGAAAAACCAGGAAAACCAATCATGTTCTTGTAGTCTGGATCCCTAACCCCACTTAAGATGAAAAGGAGAATTTATACACTTTGGAAAATTGTGAGGTCAGAGAATCAGTCTAGCAGGCTTGTACCCCTTCACAGGTGTTTAATCAATTGTAAAGAGTTTTTGCAGCAAAGAGTTTGCAAGCAGTTTTTGAAAAAAAAGCCAGTTTTCTCCAACGCTGGTCGGCCGACCAGCGTTGGAAAAATACCATTTTTCTTGAAAATGTCAGCACACCAGGAGCCACGATGTTTTACAGGATGCTTAAGACTGTCATTCCCTAACAATCCAGTAAGGTATTTTGTGACAATCTGATCATTTCATTTTGTGATGTTTGCAAATGTTGTATTTTCCCTTTAATGAAGGAATCCGCACGCGCCCATGGAGTTGAGGCTGGTATGGACACATGATGGACACAGTAAAATACCACTGCTGCATTGATGATCAGATGATCAGCGAAATGTAAACAAACATATGCACGCTTTTCCAATTTCCAATGGAAGAGCATGCATGTTTGTTTACATTTGATGAGGCAGTAGTGGTATCGGGGAGTCAAGTTGGCATAGCGGTACATGTACTTTCCTCGCCTTCCACCGCTGTGACCCGGGTTCGAATCCCGCCCGGGCCAATATGTGGATTGGGTTTTCAGTCCCTGCCTGATTCCGTGGGTTTGCCTCAGGACATTCTACTGGGCTTTTCCTCCCACCTCTAAAACAGTAATTTCTTCACATTGTCTTCTCTTTACTGGGCCCCATGGGAGATAAGTGGGTTCCACTGAATGGGCTACCCAGTTAAAATAAATGAATAAAAATAAATGTTTTGTCCGTAAATATGAGACATAATTTACTTTGATTGCCTTTGCAGACTGATGTCTGAAATGGCGGGACAGAAGGCAATGCCCATGCTAGCTTGTCGAGGAGAACGGATGCTCAAATCCGTAGATTTGTTAGATACGGGAATGATGGCATGCTCTGCCAACCAGTTTGATAGCTGCTCAAACCCGGACGTAAGTGGTAAAAACGAAAGCTCGGAAACTTTCTTCACTTACTGGCACTGCTTACATTAGGGCTTGGATTTTATACATGTATGCCCAATTGGGCTACAAAACGCGCTTTGAACAAAATGATGTCAGTTGGAAAGAACTTTTAAAAGTACTAAACATCTACACAACTATCCTTAAATAAAATCTGGGCGTTTTTGTGTTATTCTTGTGTTATTCGTGCGAGAATGGATTTCATGGTTCACATTTGCAACCCCAAAGGATCTGGGTGTTCAGTTTATGAAAGTGTTCACTTTCTGTGGACGTGTAAGAAACCACATTTGTGCATTGGTGCTGTGTGTAATGTGACACACACAACATATCATGCATTGAATGAAAATGGCAGGAAAAATGTATGTGTGCACACTCCGTCATGTCCGATGTACATCACCATTTTTTTTTTGACTGTTGTCGGGAAGGTTTACGTACGTAAGAAAAAAGGATAGTTTCCTTTCAACTACCGGTAGATCTTTTATAAGTAAACATCCAAAACATGAAATTTTCGGAGATTTCAGGCCGCAGTGCCCTGTAAATGCTTTCGTACATTGCCTTTCATCGTATCTGTCACTCAAAAACAAGCAAAGTTCACCTCCTAGCTTTGGCGGTTAGCATAGTACCCAAGAGTCACGCTCCTTTTTCGCCTTTTATTATTTCGATTTTGCCAACATTGATCATCAAAAGGTTGTCTTTTTATGTTTGCTCCATGCGCCAACAAAAAAGGGCGCCCTTTTACCTAGCAATGACGTCCCATGGGCGGGACATTTAGCTGGTTGACGTGCACCGTTCCATGTGTGTGCCGCACGTACACCAGGGATTTGTACTATGTACACGCAGTGGTACGGCCACGCGTTGCGGTAAAATTGCAGTGAGGCAAGATGGCGTCGGTCGGTCACCCCCAACTGTACTTTCTTTACTGGTGAGGGCGTACTTGTGAATGGAGCGGATGCCCTAATTGCCTTGAAAGTACAAATACTACTGAGTAGTCACCTGTAGTACCGTATGCATTTCTTTCCTAAGTACATGTGCACAACACATGTACCAGTAATATTCTGTAGTATATTTGGTACGTGACCCCCAAAGAGCCTTTAGCGGGTTAGGGTTAACCTGAAGTCCCAAGAGGCATTTTGCTAGGATGCAACCTCAGTCCGGCAAAATCCTCCAACTGCCTCCATGTAAAAATGCATGGCCTCAATCCTGCAAAATTGTCTTGTTATTTATATCTTAAATCTGGTTCAATTGGAGGGGTGACCACTGTCTCCATATTGAAGCAGATACATGTATGACATCCAGGAGCAGTGCAAACTTTCATCTTTGCCTAAGGCCCAAGACCTTGACACCAAGTGCATCCTCACCTGTTTGCCATACAGGCCTACATGTATGTTCATGTAGCCTCAATACTGCCAAATTAAATCCTACATTTTGCAACATTTGTGCAAAGAGAATTTAGGAGGACTTAGGAAGGTTATGAGTTAATGTAGAAATGCTTCAACATGAAATAATGACACATCACTGAAGAACAGGACATCTTGGAAAAACCAGAGATAAAACTGTTCAGAATGCTCTGGAAATGGTGTTTCCCTAATTAACAGTTAGACTAGGGGCTAGACGTTGTCTGTTAGACAAAATAAAAACAGTCATAATTTTAACTTAAAGGTACCGGTACCCCAATCAGATATACTTTAGGTACCCTGCGAAATGCAACAAAATCAAACACAATTGAATTGAGTGCTTTGCTATACATTGTATGCAACATGATGCAAGTAGATTCTGTTGCATTAGTTGTGCACTGAACCCAGTATTCTCCAGCCTTGGCACCGAGCAGTTACCCTGTGCTAAATGCAACACAATCCAACACAACTGAAATGAGAACTCTGCTAAATGCAACTTACCGGTACAAGATGCAACAGAAGGTTCCGTTGCATTGTGCACTGACCATGCTAAATGCAACACAATCCAACACAACTGAAATGAGAACTCTGCTAAATGCAACTTACAAGATGCAACAGAAGGTTCCGTTGCATTGTTCACTGACCATGCATGCTAAATGCAACACAATCCAACACAACTGAAATGAGAACTCTGCTAAATGCAACTTACCGGTACAAGATGCAATTCAGAAGGTTCCGTTGCATTGTGCACTGACCATGCTAAATGCAACACAATCCAACTCAACTGAAATGAAAATCCTGCTACATTTGTAAATGCAACAAGATGCAACAGTAGATTCCGTTGCATTGTGCATTGAACCCAGTAGTCACAAGCCTTCAATGGCACCAAGCAGCTTACCGTACCTGGCTAATCAATAAAAAAAATAGTAATTGTTTAAAACTTAATAAAAAATCAGTTGATGGCCTCATCATGACGTCACTTCATACTTGAATATATGTTATCAATATCTAGCTATATCTACCAAATTTTGTAATGATCTACATCATGCATGAAATCACTCTTCCCTGCACGAGTTCACCGGTTCTGAGTCCGTGCCCAGTTTCATTAAGATTGAAGTTTGTTGAAGTTCAAAAGTGGCACTGAGAATGTACAAGTCTATGGGATTTGGGGTAGAAGAAGAAGAAGAAAAACAAATCAGAACAAAAATTACCAGTGATCTGAGTAAATTTCTAAATTCACAGTACACCCTCACAGCTGCATTCTGCACCACATCACACAGTATGCGCAACGCGCGCAACAATTTGAACAAATTTGTTTGACTTTTGGACCGAAAAGTGTAGATCTTTTTTACTGAATAACATGAATAAAGGTACATTTATGACACTGCATGTTTGAGACCGGTTGGAGTCTGGATGCTGGTAATTATACCCTCGCCTATCAGCGTCCAGACTCCAACAGGTCTTAAACATAATGTTTGAAACTGGCCAAGCACACATTTGTTCCCCTTAGCAAAAAAAAGCAACACATTTTGACAATAAAATACAGTTAACCACATTCCATCAAATTACACTCAAGTGAAAGATCTTGATGCCCCTTCTGTTACATTTGATGTTGTGGTGCTTGCAGTTTTGAAGATTTTACACAGTAATTTGGGGAGTGTGTGGCCTAGTGGTTAGGATTCGTGACTCATGATCAGAGGGTCCGGGGTTCGAATCCAGCCGCTGCCCGTATATTGTGTCCTTGGGCAAGGCACTTCACCCCCACTTGCCCCTCTCCACCCAGGAGTATAAATGGGTACCGGCATTAGCTGGGGAGTAATCCTGCGATGGACTGGCATCCCATTCAGGGGGAGTAGAAATATTCTCAGTCGTTTCATGCCAAGGAAACCGGAGATAAACACCGGCCTGATGAGCCACATTGGCTCGGGACAGACTTTACTACTTTTTACACAGTAAATTGTCCACTTTTCAGCCTTGTCCGCTTGTGCGTTGTTTGCCCTTGTGTTAAAACAGACAAATTGTGAAAACTTTGATTGCCTTTGCAGACCGATGTCTGAAATGGGAGGACAGAAGGCAATGCCCGTGCTAGCTTGTCGAGGAGAACGGATGCGCAAATATGTAAATTTGTTAAGGAGGGGAGCTGTGGCAAGTTCTGCCAACAAGTTTGATATCTGCTCAAACCCAGACGTAAGTGCAACAAGCTGCAAAATGACCTCAGAAGCTGCGGGCCGATGAGTTAGTGTTCATACCTTGATCTGCCTAGCCGCTCTTGCACTGGCATTGAAGTAAAAGATTTTGTTGAACATTAATGCAAACTTGACCTTGATAATGCAAGTCTGTCGGCCCTTCCTCAAGGGCCATAAAACTGACACAGGGCCTCAAGCAGGAGCTGGCTTAGACATGTTGTATACAGGGTGAGTACAACAAAAAAGAAACCCAAATGTCGGGACCATTGTTCTAGTGAAGTTCTGCGTGTAGCACTTTTAAAATCGAGGATATGAAAGCCTACATATGTACATGTAGTTCATTAGCTTTCTTTTAGTACAAGAGTCATTCAAATCACTCATGTACTTTTCAAGTTACGAAATTTTAAACACAACCACCGTTTGAAAGTTCTGCACAAAAACCTAAGTCATCTTTCTTGCTTTGGCGGTAGCACACCACGTACAGGAGTGACACTCTTCTGTTTTGCCCTTTTATCATTTCAATTTTGACAGCATCATGAGGTCTCTTCTTTCTACTTGTGCTTACTCCAATACTCTCTCTATAGATGCAAGTTGGAATGATTCTTTTATTACATGTGTGTCTTAATCATGACGAAATACCTCTTTTCAAATGCATATTGACACTTCATTGGCGAACACAACGTCAAGGAAAAACCAGAGAAAACATTTCAAAATGCTCTGTCAACCTGTGCCCCAAAACAGTCGGCGCCCTCCTCTGTTGTGGGTGTTAGCATCTTAAAACAAATATCATAATAAATGTCTTAACCCCAACTCCCTAGCATGATTTACAAGGAACCACCCATCCTGGCAAATTCCAACACTGTAATGGAAACTGCAAACACATATTTCTGACTTTGAATCTGGAGGTGTGCCAACCCAATGTAAAAGACTGTCAGTTTAGGGGTACTGTACCCATCCAGACAGATTCCAACAAAACATGCCATTGGGGTTTGAAGAGTTGAGTTCTGTTAGGGTAAACTCATACAAAATGTTTGTATAATATGCGTCTCAGTGGGCGTGCTCGGTAGAACTAACTTATAAACCTCTTTCTATAAACCCTCATTACGTATTAACACACCTGCCACACAGGCTACTAGCTCTCTATTTGTTCTTCAAATTCTTAAAAGGCAGTAATTTCCCACTATACTACGAACTGCGGGAATTTTGATTCTAAAATAAATTTATGTTATTTACATTCTGTAAATAAAATCTCCACCCTCCATGCTGTGTGACATGATATTCAGACATTGCCCATAAGGTCACACAAAAAAAACAGTCTCCGGTTTCTGGTATGCGTGCGCGTCGCCGTAGCCATGCGCGTTGGCAAAATGAAAAAAAAAAAATTTTTCAATTTAAGATGATGTCTCAAAACTGCCAAACTCACTGGTTTGACTAGAATCCTGCTGCTGCACAATTTTAATGTGTTTTTAGATGGGGTTAAGATCGAGTATAAGCTTTATGTGGCCTCTCTGGACTCCCATATATTTTGCACTAAATTTAGTCAGGCACCATTTGCAGTCATCAGCCGACATTTGAAGAAAAAAAAAGTAAAGAAAAAAAAAAAAGCTTCGTCGCTGGACCACTTTTTGGGCAAGGCGACAGCCCCCTGTGAAATTTTGTCGGCCCCCCCCCCCCCAGTCGCCTCCCTCCCCACTGAGATTTTGAGTTTCTAAAAAAATTATCATTGATCTACATGACACCCCCCCCCCCCATGAAATGTTCCAGCCCCCCAAGTGCCCCCCACTGAAAAATTCCTGGTTACGCCACTGCATGGGGGTAGCTAGGATAAGGTAAAATTGGGTTTGGGGGTCAAAGACGTCAGAAAAAAATGTCGGCACAAGTCTATGGGAATGTCTCCCCATGCCTAATGGTATATTTTTCTATTAAAGAGGTTGTGGAATGCTCGAAGACATTTCCGTCATTTTTCGGGTATATGTAGCCTAAGGTGTGATGAAATAAAAACGACTATTGTTTCTGTCATGAAATGAGTACAAAAGGTACTTTTGAGAGCTGTTTTTCAGGTCCAGTTTCGACCCGAACGTGCAACTGTGTAAAAGTCGTCGTTGCGGGCAGCAAACAAAACACAGTAAATCGTGACGTAATAAACAGGACTCCCGATGCACAGTAGCATACACGAGAAAATGTCTTTGAGCATTCCACAACCTCTTTAATTACAAGTCTATGGGAATGTCTCCCAATGCCTAATGGTATATTTTGCTAAGGGAATAAATGTGTGCTCGAGAGGTTTTTATCACTCTGTTTAAGACCGCTTAGAGTCTGGCTACTGATAATTACCCGAGCCGGAGGCGAGGGTAATTATCAGCACCCAAACTCTAAGCGGTCTTAAACAGAGTGATTAATACGGACCGAGCACATATTTATTCCCATTCATCAATACCTTTTCGACGTAAGTGCAACAAGCTCCAAATGACCTCAGAAGCTGCGGGCTGATGAGTTAGTGTTCATACCATGATCTGCCTAGGCGCTCTTGTACTGGCATTGAAGTACAAGATTTCCCATTTGTTGAACATTAATGCAAACTTGACCTTGATAATGCAAGTCTGTCGGCCCTTCCTCAAGGGCCATAAAACTGACACAGGGCCTCAAGCAGGAGCTGGTTTACACATGTATACAGGGTGAGTAAAAAAAAAACGAAACCCAAGTGTCGGGACCATTGTTCTAGTGAAGTTCTGCATGTAGCACTTTTAGAATCGAGGATATGAAAGCCTACATGTACATGTAGTTCATTAGCTTTCTTGTAGTACAAGAGTCATTCAAATGACCCATGTACTTTTCAAGTTACGGAATTTTAAACACAACCACCGTTTGAAAGTTCTGCACAAAAACCTAAGTCATCTTTCTTGCTTTGGCGGTAGCACACAACGTACAGGAGTGACACTCTTCTGTTTTGCCTTTTATCATTTCAATTTTGACAGCATCATGAGGTCTCTTCTTTCTACTTGTGCTATACTCTCTCTATACCGGTAGATGCAAGTTGGAATGATTCTTTTATTACATACATGTCTTAATCATGACGAAATACCTCTTTTCAAATGCATATTGACACTTCATTGGCGAACACAACGTCAAGCAAAAACCAGAGAAAAAATTTCAAAATGCTCTGTCAACCTGTGCCCCAAAACAGTCGGCGCCCTCCTCTGTTGTGGGTGTTAGCATCTTAAAACAAATATCATAATAAATGTCTTAACCCCAACTCCCTAGCATGATTTACAAGGAACCACCCATCCTGGCAAATTCCAACACTGTAATGGAAACTGCAAACACATATTTCTGACTTTGAATCTGGAGGTGTGCCAACCCAATGTAAAAGACTGTCAGTTTAGGGGTACTGTACCCATCCAGACAGATTCCAACAAAACATGCCATTGGGGTTTGAAGAGTTGAGTCCTGTTAGGGTAAACTCATACAAAATGTTTGTATAATATGCGTCTCAGTGGGGGTGCTCGGTAGAACTAACTTTTAAACCTCTTTCTATAAACCCTCATTACGTATTAACACACCTGCCACATAGGCTTCTAGCTCTCTATTTGTTCTTTGAATTCTTAAAAGGCAGTAATTTCCCACTATACTACGAACTGCGAGGAATTTTGATTCTAAAATAAATTTATGTTATTTACATTCTGTAAATAAAATCTCCACCCTCCATGCTGTGTGACATGATATTCAGACATTGTCCATCAGGCCAAAAAAAAACAGTCTCCGGTTTCTGGTATGCGCACTCGTCGCCGTAGCCATGCGCGTTGGCCAAATGAAAAAGTTTTTTTTTTTTCAGTTTAAGATGATGTCTCAAAACTGCCAAACTCACTGGTTTGACTGGAATCCTGCTGCTGCACAATTTTAATGTGTTTTTAGATGGGGTTACGATCGAGTATAAGCTTAATGTGGCCTCTCTGGACTCCCATATATTTTGCACTAAATTTAGTCAGGTACCATTTGCAGTCATCAGCCGACATTTGAAGAAAAAAGAAGTAAAAAAAAAAGAAGAAGAAGCTGCGTCGCTGCACCACTTTTTGGGCAAGGCAACAGCCCCCCCTATGAAACCTTGTCGCCCCCCCCCCCCAGTTGCCCCCCTCCCCACTGAGATTTTGAGTTTCTTAAAAAATTATCATTGAATTACAAGTCTATGGGAATGTCTCCTCATGCCTAATGGTATATTTTTCTATTAATTACAAGTCTATGGGAATGTCCCCCAAGCCTGATGGTATATTTTGCTATTAATTACAAGTCCATGGGAATGTCTCCCCATGCCTAATGGTATCGGTATATGTTGCTATTAATTACAAGTCTATGGGAATGTCTCTCCATGCCTAATGGTATATTTTGCTATTAATTACAAGTCTATGGGCATGTCTCCCATGCCTAATGGTACCGGTATATTTTGCTATTAATTACAAGTCTATGGGAATGTCTCCCCATGCCTAGTGGTATAGGCCCCCCTATTTGTCTATTAATTTCAAGTCTATGGGAATGTCTCCCCATGCCTAATGGTATATTTGTCTATTAATTACAAGTCTATGGGCATGTCTCCCCATGCCTAATGGTACCGGTATATTTGTCTATTAATTACAAGTCTATGGGAATGTCTCCCCATGCCTAATGGTACCGGTATATTTTGCTATTAATTACAAGTCTATTGGAATGTCTCCCCATTCCTAGTGGTATAGGCCCCTCTATTTTTTTTATTAATTACAAGTCTATGGGAATGTCTCCTCATGCCTAATGGTATATTTTTCTATTAATTACAAGTATATGGGAATGTCTCCCCATGCCTAATGGTATATATTTCTATTAATTACAAGTCTATGGGAATGTCTCCCCATGCCTAATGGTATATTTTGCTATTAATTACAAGTCTATGGGAATGTCTCCCCATGCCTGATGGTATATTTTGCTATTAATTACAAGTCTATGGGAATATCTCCCCATGCCTAATGGTATATTTTGCCATTAATTACAAGTCTATGGGAATGTCTCCCCATGCCTAATGGTACCGGTATATTTTTCTATTAATTACAAGTCTATGGGAATGTCTCCTCATGCCTAATGGTATATTTTCCTATTAATAAACTATACAAGTCTATGGGAATGTCTCCCCATGCCTAATGGTATATTTTGCTATTAATTACATGTACATGTACATGTACCAGACACAATTTCAGTTGTCTGGTCGGTTAGCCGGTCTGTCGTTTGGCACTGCCAAACTCACAACAGTCAGTCCGTGAGTCATTGAGTAAATCAGTGTGGTGCAAAGAAGACTATCGGCTGGTCAACTCTTGTACCAACAAAAAACGTGGAGACACACATCATGCAGTATATGGCCAGTTCACAGTTAAAGGGAATGTACATCATTGGCTTTTGCTGTAATTTTCAGAAATGAACTATTTTGAGGGATTATTAGTATAACAGATCAAATATTGTTACACTGACATGTTTGAAGTTTTGTGTTCGAAAATACTGGAAAAACGAAGAAAAACAAAAATTTCAAGTAGTCTGGTTCCCTGACTCCACTAAAGATAAAATGGATCATTTATAGATGCCGGAAAATTGTAAGATACTGGAACCAGTCTAACTGGCCTGCACCCATTCATGAACATGTAACCAATAGCAAACAAAATTTGGACTGAAAAAAATTGGTAAATTTGGAGCAGTAGTTGAAAAATAGTTAGGTTTTTCCAACGGTGGTCGGCCGATCACCATTGGAAATTTATACAAAATACCACTTTTCTTGAAAATGACTTTACACATGGTGCCATAATTTTACAGGATGCTTTAGACTGCCATTTACCAACATCCTAGTAAGGTATTTCGTAAAAACATGATAGTTTTGTTTTTCAATGTTTGCAAATGTTGTATATTCGCTTTAAAATCATTATCTGTTTTATTTCATTGTTTTTGTAGGGTGTCATCAACCTTGGCACATCAGAAAATAGACTCGTTTTTGATCTTCTCAGAGAAAGGGTGAGTAAACACCGCAGAAGAAGGAAGTCCACACTCATTGGAGGGGTCATAATTTTAAATCTGATCGTCTTATGATACTGTCATTTGTATAGACCTTTGGGGAATGTTGTTAGCTACTTTTAAGTTATCCCGCGAGCATGAGTGGAACACGGAATAATGTAGTGTGTCTGTGTCCCACATACCATTTGGCCGAGTGCGTCTGTGTCCCACATACCACGAGGCCGAAGGCTGAATGGTATGTGGGACACAGACGCACTACATTTTCCGTGTTCCACGAGCGTGCGCGTGATAACGAATTTATCTTCAAGCCAACTTGACGCACAGTAAAGATGGAACACGCACGCTGTACACGATCTTTTCAGCGGTTATGCGGTTGTAACCATTACACGTGCATGTTGTACGAAATGGCGCGCGCATCTTAGAAAAGCGCAATATGCAGAGTGTGGTATGGAGGGAGGCCGTGCTACATGGTTATATGTAGCACAGCTTTTTGCCATGGATCGACCAGTCAGGATCGAGGATTCAAGTTTGCTTGAAGAGAAATTTTGATACCCCGTTTGTTTGCTACCAAAGACTGTAAATCGTCCAATATTGACAACGGTTTATGAAAAATGATGCAGTTTGAAAAATTACAAATTTAAAGATTATGCTAGCAGAAATGGCTGAGCGTAACCACACATGCCCGTAATTGACCCCAGTCGACTTCACAGTGGCCGAGGAAAGCGCTGGTTATTCAATTCATGTGCTCCCTTGCATGCAAGCACTGTGCAATCGGTATTCCCTGCCGTTCGCTTCGGGCAGTGTGGCATTGTCAGGCAGCAATTTCCACTCGCGTGCTCTTTAAACTTTTCAAACTGCATCATTTTGCATAAACCATTGTCAGTGTTGGACGATTTACAGTCTTTGGTAGCAAATGTGGTGGCGCTGATCTCTATATAAAGACTGGATAGCGGATATCCATACTTTAGTCACACAGTAGGCTTTGCATATTGACCAATTCGCCCCCGGTCTCACGAAGATGGCCGCGTATACGAACGTTCGACGCGTACACAATCGACTGGCAATATATGGATGCAGGCGTATTAAATAACGCGCACTGTACCAAGAGTTGACACGCATTTTGGTCACGTACACGTATTATGATGTTCTCAAAAGGACACATTTCTGCAGTGATTATTACTTCCAAGATGCCGAAAAGGAACTGCAGCATTAAAAAACTAGAAATGTGTTTGTGGACAAACACAAGCTGTTTCGGATATTTGAAATACTCTGTGCACGTGATGAACACTTGATGAAGTCACTTCGAATGTCATCTGCCAAGTGAAAAGTCAATCAGACATATAGTGCCAAAGTATGATTTGAAGAAAAACGTGTACAAACCCTTGGGGGAAAAATGCATCTTTAATGTGACGTAACCTTACACCTGATGATGTCACGATCACAAATTTCTTCAAGGACCATCTGTAGGTGGTAGTCTAAGTGTGTACCAAGTCTAACGTCGATCGGATTTACGAAAGTGCCAAAGTAGAATGTTTTAAAACGTGTACAAACCCTATGGGGAAAAATGCATCTTTAATGTGACGTAACCCGACACCTGATGATGTCATGGTCACGAATTTCCTTTAGGACCATCTGTGGGTGGTGGTCTAAGTATGTATCAAGTCTGAAATCGATCAGATTTACGAAGAGGTCAGAATGGCGTGTTTTAAAACGTGTACAAAACATATGGGGAAAAATGCATCTTTAATGTGACGTAACCCGACACCTGATGACGTCACGGTCACGAATTTCCTCTAGGACCATCTGTGGGTGGTGGTCTAAGTATGTACCAAGTTTGAAATCTATCGGATTTGAAAAAGTGGCAAAGTGGATTGGTGGAAGAAACGTGTGTTAAACCTATGGAGAAAAAGTCTGAAAAAGGAGAAGAAAAAAAAACTAGAAATGTGTTTGTGGACAAACACAAGCTGTTTCGGATATTTGAAATACTCTGTGCATGTTATGAACACTTGATGAAGTCACTTCGAATGTCATCTGCCAAGTGAAAAGTCAATCAGACATATAGTGCCAAAGTATGATTTGAAGAAAAACGTGTACACACCTTATGGGGAAAAATGCATCTTTAAAGTGAAGTAACCTTACACCTGATAATGTCAAGATCACGAATTTCTTCTAGGACCATCTGTAGGTGGTAGTCTAAGTGTGTACCAAGTCTAACGTCGATCTGATTTACGAAAGTGCCAAAGTAGAATGTTTTAAAACGTGTACAAACCCTATGGGGAAAAATGCATCTTTAATGTGACGTAACCCAACACCTGATGACGTCACGATCACAAATTTCCTCTAGGACCATCTGTGGGTGGTAGTCTAAGTGTGTACCAAGTCTGACGTCGATCGGATTTACAAAAGTGCCAAAGTGGAGTGTTTTATAACGTGTACAAACCCTTTGGGGAAAAATGCATTTTTTAATGTGACGTAACCCAACACCAGATAACGTCACGATCACAAATTTCTTCTAGGACCATTTGTGGGTGGTGGTCTAAGTATGTATCAAGTCTGAGGTTGATCGGATTTACGAAGAGGCCAAAGTGGAGTGTTTTAAAACGTGTACAAAACATATGGGGAAAAATGCATCTTTAATGTGACGTAACCCGACACCTGATGAGGTCACGGTCACAAATTTCTTCTAGGACCATCTGTGGGTGTTGGTCTAAGTATGTATCGAGTCTGAAATCAATCAGATTTGAAAAAGTGGCAAAGTGGACTGGTGGAAGAAACGTGTGTTAAACCTATGGAGAAAAAGTCTGAAAAAGGAGAAGAAAAAAAAAGAAAAAAAAAAAATCTTAACGAAAACAAGAGCTGTTTCGGTGTGTCACCGAAACAGCTAAAAAAAAAAAAAAAAAAAAAAAAAAAAATCTTAACGAAAACAAGAGCTGTTTCGGTGTGTCACCGAAACAGCTAAAAAGAAGTAAACCACGACGTTATAACTGTGGGCAGTGGTGTTGGTAAAAAAAATCGAGAGAACCCCGATGTTACAAAAGTAACCATGATGCCTATAAAGACTGCAACTTGTCCTTCGTAGATCACCAGCCGGTCTCACTGGTCTCACCACTATGGCGTCAAATTCATTCATTGTGCAGCTCTTTATCCGCTATCCAGTCTTTATATAGAGATCAGTGTGTGTAGGCCAATCAAAATGTAGCAACATTCCCCAAAAGGTCTATATAAATGACGTCATCCTAAGACGATCAGATTCAAAATTATGACCCCTCCAATGAGTGTGGACTTTTTTTGGGGGGGGGGGGTGTTTATTATTATCTTGTAGTGTTACATGCGGTGCATCACAGTGTGTTGTGTGTTTGTGAGTTTTTATTTCTTTTTATACAACACCTCAATAAATTCCCGTCGTCTGATTGGTGGGGTGTTGATCACATGTCATCAAATTTATTCGTCCCAACCCACTGCCAACCGCACTGCAAAAGTAGACGAACAATGTGAATAGAAGTCCATTGCATGGCCACATTACCGGTATTACCAATCAGATGACGAGGATTTATTCAGGTGTTGTATAAAACAAGTAATGAATGATTCACATTTGTACAATGGAAAGAATAATTTCATTTGGTGACAGATGCAACGTTTCATTCCATCTGTCACCTCATGAAATTATTCTTTCCATTGCAATTACAATGTATAGACATTCATTGTTTAACCCTTACCCAACTGGACCCTCCAACGCATGCCATTATGTGCCTTAAGAAAATGGCACATGTTTTTTGCATGGCCCTCCAATATCTGCCATGTCATTTCAAGGGTAACTGGACAGGCACTCCAATACATGCCACAGAGAACAATGAGAGTCCTCTGATAACAAAGTGAGTGCCCCCAGCTGGTCAGTATCAGGCACCCTCCAGGGCCTCCAACTCCTGCCAATTGGAGCCTTCACTGTTAAGACAAACTATCTGCCAATAAACTGCAGCTGGAGGGCATTGGCATAACCAACTGACATGCAGTAAACTACCCTCAGAGAGTAAGGGTTAATTGTAGAATGTTGAAAGTGTTGCTTGGTGCGGTAACTCCCATATGTAACTCCAATTTCATTTGGTGACAGATGAAATGTTCCATTCCACGTGGCTTCGCCTTATGGAATGGATCATTCCATCTGCCTGTCACTTCATGAAATTATTCATGTTGCAATTATAGACATTCATTGTTTAATTGTAGAATGTTGAAATGTGTTGCTTGGCATGCTTGGTGCGGTAACTCCCATATGTGACCTGTTCTGCCAAAATCAGACTTTTCTAGGCATAAGGTCAAAAATGAGATTTTTGCATATTAAAATATGTTCTTTTTCCTTTTAATAGGTGGTTGAATTTTTGAAACCGGTCATTCCTGAGCAGAGTTATGCTATTTTGAAGTTCATTGTGTCGAAAAGTAGAAAACAGAGAAAATGGCCACGAGCGTCACAAAACAGTAATTTCTTTAACTGATATCTTAACAAATCATCAAAAATGCTACATTTAGAGTTCAAATTAGGGTTTCAAACTTTCATAGTATATTTTAGACATGTTCAGGATAACAAATATATGCAAAAATTTGAAAATTGAAAAAAATCAAAATTTAAAACAAAATCCTATTTTCAACCTCTGCCCAGAAGCGTCTGCTTTGGACAGAACAGGTCACATATCTTGTGTTGTTGTGTTTAATGTTGTTGTGGTTTAATGTTTATGTGGTAGTGATGGTGAAGTTGTGTAATTCATAGTTTTGCAATGTTGAAGTTTTTATTCTGGGAATTCCATGAATTCTCCGCTCTGATTCTTTCAGTTGGACGGATACAATGTGAAATGGGAGGACTACATGTTCACATACAACGACTTCCAAGGAATTCCAGAGTTACGGGAAGCAGTTGCTGGATTTTTGACTGATTGTGCGAAATCTCTGACTCCAATTGACCCCAAAAAGGTGCTTTTAAGAATCGTTAAAGTTTACGAGGGCCGTGGCCTCGTTGTCTGGAGCATAGAACTCATGGTTTGCAGGACTTGGAACGTCGCTATAGCGAACACCGCTATACCAAACATTCGGCTATACCAAGCATCGTTCTTGGCTCTTGATTTTTGTGTAGAAAAACCAACCGAACATTGTTGTTGAAATATGTCAACATAAGAGCAACAACTTACGACAAGTGGCTATTATTTCCCCAGGGAATAGAAGGGGAATGCCACCCATCGATGTAGGTAGTAAGCGCAAAACTGTGTAATAATAGATAGTTCAATAGCCAACATGATATTCGCAGTCGTCTTTCAGTAACTACCAAGGCGAGCAGGGTGAAGTAAACCAGGACACTATTTATTGAAAAGTGAGTACCGGAGCACCGGCAGCTTAAACTCGCATAAAACCGAACGGTCGCTATTGCGAACATTTTCTGCGGATCCTACGATGTTCGTTATAGCGGCATTCCACTGTAATTCTGCAGAATGTGGGTTCGAGTCCAGAGACTAGGTTTAAAGTGCGTGTGTTTTGGGGCTAGACACTTTGTCACTCATTGCTTCTCTCCGCCCAGTAGTAAAAGGGTACCTGTGAGGGCAGAGATGGTTATTGTGGTTGATTTCTAGCTGCTTTGCGCCGAAGTGGCAGCATCGAGCTGTATACTCCCCAGGGAGCTGAGATTGTCTTTAGAATGTTTCATTGGCCCAATGAGCAGGGTAATAATGATGTAGCATCTTGAGCACCAATAAAGTACACGCTCTTTATAAATAAGCATTATGTTTTGGTTCACTAACCCAGGGCTCGCGAAATCGGTTGTCCGATGTCCCGGGACAACCAAAATATTCTGTCGGACGACCGAAAGTTCCAGTTTGCCAGCCCGACGGGCAACCATTTTTTTATTATTATTATTATTATTGATCATTTCTGGTAATGAAACCAAGGATTCCTCAAAAGCGCCCAAGGCACTGTAGCTCGCAGGCCTGAAGAAACCTGTAGAGAGAAGACAATGAGAAGAAATTACAGTTTTAGAGGTGGGAGCCCAGAAGGATATTCTGGGGAAAACCCACGGAATCAGGCAGGGACTGAAAACCCAATCCACATATTGGCCCAGGCGGGATTCGAACCCGTGTCACAGCGGTGGAAGGCGAGGAAAGTACTGCTACGCCAACCTGACTCCCACCAATACTCGCACATTTTTACACTTTATTGTAGTCCATGGGATTTTCGAAAGTTTCAGAATCCCGTGTGCACAGCGTCGAACAATAATCATGATAAACATCCCTATTTTGACTCTGCTACGCTATTGCCATTTGATGTTGGTAATCTACGCTTAAATCCATTGAGATCAATGTATATAAACCTGAAACGGGTAGCAGCCAAAACAGAACAGCAGTCAATCTCGATCTGTACGTACAGTCCGGCTACATTGTACATCCTGTGCATGCTGTGTATACATGTGTGTTTCCAATAATAATGACCGGACCACTGTACACCATGTACCAGTGCGGCGCAGAGCGCGGGTACCGTACACAAGCACCCAACCACGGTCCGCCATGCCGGTATCACGGTCTCACTTCTCCGGCCACAGTACGCACGCTTGCAAAATGGCAATAGCGCAGCAGCTGAGCATCGATACAAATATTTTGGTTGTCCCGGGACGTCGGACAGCCAATTTTGCGAGCCCGGATGAGCTGCTTCAGGTAAAACAGCCATGTACATAAACATTATTAGGATTTGGCATTCGGTTTGGGGCAATATTAATTAACCCTTTCCTTACCATGGGCGACTTTTGTCGACAAGAATTACCCCCCTGCTGGTTCCCATGGGCGACTTTAGTCGACCAGGAAACCACACACAAAACACCCTCAGCACAGATATATTCACTACTTTTCAGAAAGGCGGCATGTTGATATGTTTGGCCGCCCATACATCAACTATATACCAGCTGAAAGGGTGTTTTGGGATCTTTCTAATGGTGTAGTTTATTCATAGTGTTACCTTTACCAAAAAATGAGAAAAGTGCTTCAGAAGTATCCACGCACAATTTGAGGTATGGAGTGCCATTTGGTCATGTGGTGAAATGGCTTGCAGTTTGATAATTGGGACCAGATGAACAAAAAGGCATAACTTTCTTATATTTGCACGTATGGACTTCATTTTTACATCACATAAAAGAGTAAGGTTCAAGGAACAAACTTTACACACAACACCTATGATTTTAATCACTCCTTGGCAGTGAAAATCTGGGATGAAAAACGTGATTTTTTGACTCTTGCTCATTTTTTCACGCTCTAGTGATTTCCGCATGACTGACATGACTGAGCAAACAATTTGGTCCTGGGGAGAGCCAAGTCAATAAACAATGTGGGTAGAAAGGGTTAAAGTTCTTTATTGGGCAACTGAAAATGAAATTCGGGCAACCAGATTTCAAGAACCCCTGCCCGAAAGGCGACGACATTTTAAAACATTTTGCAAGGCCTGTCACCCTTTCAATTGTGGGGCTTAATAAGTCTCCCTGGCTTTCTACAGCTGTGCTAAGTTGTTTACATGTATTTTTGTGTTTGGTTTGTACCGGTAGATTGTGGTGATGAATGGAGGTGGAATATGCATGGAGGCATTGTCGTTTGCAATCTGTGATCCTGGAGGTATGTGGGATGGGATGGGATCGGATCCAGTGGGTTCAGTGTGGGACGGGTAGGGTTATTTTGGGTTTGTTTCTGAATTCAATAGGGGACGTTGAACAATAGAGGACAATAGGGTCCCTGATTCCCGAAGGTCCCCCATTTGGCGATGTGTACAAAACATATGGGAGGTCTTCCTAAAAAGGTAGAGTACAAACAAAAGAGGGACAATAGGGGGTCCCCGATTGCAGGCAAATACACACTTGGGTTGGGTTGAGTTGGGTCTTGTTGGGTGGGTTGGGTTGGGTTGGGCTAGGTTGGGTTGGGTAGGTTGGGTCTGGTTGGGCGGGTTCGGTCGGGATGGTTTGGTTTGGATTGGGTTGGCATGGGTTGGGTCGGGTTGGGTTGGGTCGGGATGGTTTGGGTTGGGTTGGGTTGGGTTGGGTTGGGTCGAGTTGGGATGGTTTGGGTTGGGTTGGGTCTGGTTTGGTGGGTTGGGTCGGGATGTTGGGGTTGGGTTGGGTCTGGTTGGCTAGGTTGGGTCGGGATGGTTTGGGCTAGGTCATGTAGGTTGGGTCGGGATGGTTTGGGTTGGGTCTGGTTGGCTAGGTCGGGTCGGGATGGTTTGGGCAAGGTTGGGTCGGGATGGGTTGGGTTGGGTTGGGTCTGGTTTGGTGGGTTGGGTCAGGATGTTTGGGTTGGGTTTGGTTGGCTAGGTTGGGTCGGGATAGTTTGGGCTAGGTCGTGTAGGTTGGGTCGGGACAATAGGGGATCCCCGATTGCAGGCAAATACACACTTGGGTTGGGTTGGGTTGGGTCTTGTTGGGTGGGTTGGACTGGATGGGTTAGGTTGCATTGGGTTGGGTTGGGCTAGGTTGGGTTGGGTCTGGTTGGGTCGGGATGGGTTGGGATGGGTTGGATTTGTTTGGGTTGGGTTGGGTCGGGTTGGGTGGGGATGGTTTGGGTTGGGTTGGGTTGGGTCAGGTCGGGATGGTTTGGGTTGGGTTGGGTCTGGTTTGGTGGGTTGGGTCGGGATGTTTGGGTTGGATTGGGTCTGGTTGGCTAGGTTGGGTCGGGATGGTTTTGGCTAGGTCATGTAGGTTGGGTCAGGATGATTTGGGTTGGGTCTGGTTGGCTAGGTCGGGTCGGGATGGTTTGGGCTAGGTCATGTAGGTTGGGTCAGGATGATTTGGGTTGGGTCTGGTTGGCTAGGTCGGGTCGGGATGGTTTGGGCTAGGTCATGTAGGTTGGGTCAGGATGATTTGGGTTGGGTCTGGTTGGCTAGGTCGGGTCGGGATGGTTTGGGTGGATTGGGTTGGATAGGGTTGGGTTTGGTGTGTGGTTGAGGCTGGGTTGGGTTGAGTTGAGTTGGGTTGGGCTACATACATGTATGCTGGATTTGAGTTGGACTGGCACTATGAACATCTCATCCCTTAAATTTTCGTTAAAAGTCCATTTCTCCGTGAAATAAATCTTTAAGAGATGTTTCACGGACATTTACGTGGGGCTTATAGGACTAATCCCGTAAGGGTTTTTTCACGGTTTTTTAACGACCCTGGCCACTTGGGATTATCTTTGGTTATACATAACGGTACACTGCGTCTGCCACTTGGAAGATTAACGGCGAATTCACGGTGTGTAGATTAAGATAACGGGACTACACACAGTGTCAATTAAGATAACGTGACTACATGACTATTGCTGCCAAGACCTACAGAACAATGTAAACACCTGACCGGCAGCCCGGCAGCGCAGCCTTGTGGTTGCGAAGACTTTTACACGGACGCTACTGGTAGTGAATTGCACTCAAAGAAAATCACTTTGGGTTTTTACGAAAATGCTCTTTATTATGAATTGTTAGATTATAATTATACTAGAAATCGTGAACTTAAATCGCAGTTATTGATGCAGAAACGTCAATGATAAAGCTTACCTTAAAGTCATGGAACATTGTTTCGAAAACGTCACGGAATTTATAGTTATAGGCCTATTCCAAAAATAATCTTCGCGTGGATCTCGGTGGTAAAAAGATTGAATTCATTAATATCTCATGGAGGGGGTCTTGCAGATTTGTTTTACTGCACACCATTATGGATAGGAAATTATTAATTATAGTGAGGCCTGAACAGATGGTCATAGAGCAAGGAACGGGTGTGTATTGCCACTTTTAACAGCTTTGAAAATGAATGTACGTATAACCTATTTTTCCAATTTTAAAGACAGATACCGAACATATCAAAACAAATTTTAGGACATACTTGGGTTATTATAAGTGAAACAAACTCCGAAAGATTAAGAGGCACGGAGATACAGTCTTTTAAACGGGAAAAATTGATTTTCAAATAATGCCTGTGTGCAGCTTGAATCGTTCAGAATACAGTATTACGTTACCCTAACCAAATTGGCCATCGCAATTCCCGCGGAACCACAATGCTGCATTGTGTAACGGCCCTGTCACACTGACGTGTGCCCGACGTATTTGGAAATTTGGGTGTACGTTCGTGAAGTTGTCATTCATTCGTTGCGTTTGGCAGTGCGTAGGGGTTTGCAGAGGCGCGCTGTTCAACACGTTCAAAATGTTGATTGGGCGACCTCAACTTAGTGATAAATACGCTATGTATGCAGTAAGCAATTGCCGTGTGAACGTTTCGCATGTTGGGTGTAGGTTGCTTCTTCGTCAGCATATAGTTTGTTTAACGAATGTGACGACGGGGTCTTGGAGAGCGTTCTATTTTATGGGTCAGCGGAGACACGGCACGTGACCGGCCGCAGCACGTTATGAATACTGGCCATTCGTTGCTTACGCAATTCAGCATTCGTTGGATGGACGCTACGCATACGCTAGTTATACGCCCAGCGTTCGTTTTTCATTTGTTGGGCATTCGTTTTATACGTCAGGAGTTTGCCAAAAAAAAAAACACCCAGATTTCGAGGGTCTCTGGACTTTGCCAAATTTTGAGAGAACAAACTAGTTAGCTCTATTGGCTACTATGTGACATGTGCTTAGGCCTATAGCTGGCGGGGTGAATACATTGTGTTCAGTCCAATGGGTGGACTTTAAATCTGAATTAGGCTTAGGAATTTAATTAATGTGGAGTCCGAAACTGGACGCAACGCATTTTTTTTTTTTTTTTTTTTTTTTTAATGTCTTGCAAAAGTTCTTTTATTTATCATTTTGCTTCAAACTCATATATTGGTTGGTTATAGGCTACTGTTATTTTCATGACCAATTTTTTGGGCATTCGAATTTCTTTTTGTGCGAGTATAAAAACTAGTGTCATTAGAATGTCATTGAAATACATTCATTTTCTATTCGGGTATTGTTTTCAGACACATATATTTTTTATAACATTCGATCTTTTCGTCGTGAATTCATTTTTTTTTCGTGAAGCATAGGCCTGTTATGAAATAGCCATGTCCCTCTCTTCAAGCTATAATTTGGCGGGCACTTTAGGTTTGTTTTTTGGGGTGTTATTTGTGCGCTTCATGAGCTAGAGATTGGGCAACTGTACGATCAACGGAAAATGAACCTCAGCGCATGCATTGCAAAGGTAGTGCACCGCCGCGATTTGCGTGCATGTACTGCCATGATTATGGACAGGCAAGAACGCGAGTTGATCTCAGTTTTTCTCAGCCACGTGGAGACGCTGGCCAAGGTTGCCGGTTACCACGGAGCGGAGCAGCTGCAGCAGTATCCCCGCCGGGGTACCAAGTTAGGACTTGGACACATTCTTGTGCGTACTACTGTCCGGATGAAGACTAAACCGATGTGCGTCTCGCTTGGTGAAGGCGGATATTATAAAACCCGCGCGGCTTGCGTATTACTTGCTCCGTGGATATCGGGTGATGAGGCCTACATTGTGTTAAACAAAAAAAAACATGTGCCATCACAAGTTGCCATTCCAAGTTATCTGATCTCCATCACTTTGCGTGCACGTGTTTATTTGTGTTTGACAATGCACGGACAATGTCACAATTACAAACAGCTTGCTTGCCCGAAACAGCGTGAAAGACGCAAAGTAAAGTCAGCGATCGTATTCTAAAAAGTACATGTATTAGTGGAGGAACATCAATCTTCAGAGGACGAAGAGGGGCAATCATCAGAGGTGACAGTTGATCAACCAGTATCAGGGGAAGAGGACCAAGTGTCAGAGGGGGAGGGAGAGGCAGCTAAAAAAACATCGTCAAGAAACTCAAGAAAAATGCCCAGGTGAGTTTCAGGTGGTTTTTTATAAAAACTTCAAAACCATTTTTTATTTTTCATTTTTGGTGGGTTGACCATTGCCTACCCAAAGAAAACCACCCCTATAACGAGTGATGTTTCCCATAGCCATCTTGAAAAACAAATCCCTGCACAACATGGCAAAATAACGCAACTTTCGTGCCCAATTGCACCCAAAATGATAGGAATTGGAAAATTTTGTACAGTTTGTTATGAGCTTCCAGACTGCATGCATGTCTCCAAACTGGCATGATATTTGACGGTTTTTATTCACATGGTTTATAATTATCCATGGTTTATCTGTGTTTTCAGCGATCACGTAATTAAGACATATATGTACATCTTTATAATGGAAAATATTCCACAGTGTGTGCATGTAGTCACATTACATGTTTGTTTATTTGTAGAAAAAGACGAATAATAGCGGAGGAGGTGGAAGAACACCAAGCGGCAGATGATCAACAAGTATCTGAAGAGGAGCAACAATCATCAGAGGACGAAGAGGGGCACGCGTCAGAGGAGACAGAAGATCAACAAGTACATGTATTAGTGGAGGAACATCAATCTTCAGAGGACGAAGAGGGGCAATCATCAGAGGTGACAGTTGATCAACCAGTATCAGGGGCTGAGGACCAAGTGTCAGAGGGGGAGGGAGAGGCAGCTAAAAAAACATCGTCAAGAAACTCAAGAAAAATGCCCAGGTGAGTTTCAGGTGTTTTTTTATAAAAACTTCAAAACCAAAAAATGAAAATAAAAGTAGAAATAAGGCCAAAAAAGTCTCCGGTTTCTGGTTTGCGAACGC